AGAGCATCGCTGAAACCACTGAGAAGAGAAAGAGTCAAGACGATGGGCTCGGTCACGAACATCCTAAAAGGACGGACCCAGGTGATCAGGATCTCGCGCACCGAAAATCGTTCCTTCCAAGTGAGCACCTCGTTTGGACCGTAAATCTTCGTTTCGCCGTTCTTGCGTCGCTTCTTGGCAATGTTGTCCATCATGATCGTGGTGCGGGTCTCGGGCACGAAGAAAAGATGCATCAACTGCGTGAAGCCTCCGAAGATAAGCTGAATCCACATAGCCCATCGCCAGTGCAGATACTGTTCCACAAAGCCCCCGACCACAGGTCCAAGGACAGATCCACCGACCGATGAAAACACCACACATGCGACAGCGTATTGCTGATTCTCCGGTTCCCAGAGGTCTGCAACCATTCCCAGTGTTACCGAGCCACCGGCCAGACTCAATCCTCCGAACGCACGACCAACCATGATCGTTGTGAAATTCGGGGCCAGGGCCACGGGGAGTTGCCAGATATTCACGAGCAACATGCTCAGCTGCAGGATAGGCTTGCGACCTAGTTCCTCACTCCACGGGGCCCAAAGTTCGCAGCCAAAGGCATAGGTGACCAAGTAGATCATTGCGCCACATCGCGCTGCTTGCATGCTAACTCCGAATTCCTCTGAGATACCTCCAAGAGCGTTCGAATATAGACTAGTGTTGAAATTCATGGAGACCTGAACCAGGAAGATGATGGTTATGATGGTCCATTTCTTCCATGATGGGAAGCAGAAACCTAGTTCCTCATAGCAATCATCTTCCGTGAGCACAATCTTGTCACCTGCAGAGAATTCCAGTTGGTCCAGTGTGCCTTTTTCCTGAGGCGGGGCGTTGCCGTTGCCATTGGCTGCAAGGGCTTCGGCAATTTGATCGTGGTTGTTTGACAGACTATCGATTTTGACCGTCATGGTGGTGACCGCTGACCATGAGGACTGTGCGGAAGGAGGAACGGTCACGATTCGCGAAGACGAGAGGAGGAGATTTTAGTTGTCGATGAAATTAGGTGGGTGGGAAGGAAGAAAAGAAAGAGGGAGCCTGTCATAACGTGGCAGATCGTCACTACCTAAATAACAGCGCAGCGTAAAAAAAAACCCGGATTACGTCCGACCCCGGACAGGCAGCACGCTCGGGACGCGGGGGCCACAGCCAGGGAAAAGCAGGTCCAGCATACCGGCAAGGTCCGACTAGTATGATATGGAAAGTACGGGGGAGGTCATGTCATTTCTCGACCACGTTCCGCTATGGCCGTCTGGTTAACTAGTTCGGTAATCCGGTGAGCGAATTTCCCCAGGAATCGAAACCCCAGGGGCAACTGATCAGTCATGGAATCCGCCCGAGCCAAGCAGGATCGAAGTTCCGAAAAGTGCACTGGGCAAATTCGGCCATGGCCGCTGCCATGCCCGCCTACCCCGGCGAGCCCAGGGTTGGCCGACGCCCAGTAGCGCGCAACTAGTGACTTCCCCCGGCCGGGGTCCGAAGGTCAAATCTGGGAAAAGATCTCCACTCCCCAGTCTGATCCCACGGCCTCTGACGACACTCACGTCCACCGACAGAATTTTTCAATGCCCTCTTTCCCAATCGATGCCATATCGGGACGATCTTGAAGGCCTTGGCGTACCGGTCACCCCGGTGGTGGATAGAGCAGCCACGAATGAAAAGGCTGGCTTCCCCTCGGCTTTCCTGCTTCACAATGCAATTAGGTTGGACGGTCGCATTTTGCGGCAGGATGAACCAGAACCTGGAAAGACCACGTTGGAGATTGAACCTGGCCGATCCCCACATCCTCCTGGACGATGTAACCGTGTTCGACGGACGCAAACGTTGCCAGATTCCTCCGGGTAGTCGTGGTTGGTTTCTTCATGTTTTCATCATTCGGAGATGATCCGGGTAAGACACGTCTTCAGGGCATCGGGAGACCGAAGAAAATGGCGTGGTTCGGCATCGTTCTCCTTGGCCTTACTCAGGTCAAAGTTGGACGAAATGCTTGGGTTCCGTGGCTGCGAGCTTATTCTCGACTCCAAGACTCCCAGGCGGCCCGAGAGTCTGCCCTCACGTGCCGCTCGTGCCTCGTATTCCCCGAGACTACGGAGTAGGTAATACTTCCTGCCATCGGGAACACTCCATGGAGTTACACACCTCCCGTGTTTGATCTGGCATCCTTCTGCCTTTGTCAACGACACGAATAATCTTCTACACCGGACACCGTACGCAAAAGTCCCTCTCCACGAGAATCCAACCCACCAGACTACGGAGAGGAACGGGAAGGAAGCGTGGGGGAACGGCGGACCGCCAAAATCGACGTCATTGACGCTCGTTCATCTCCACCGGGCGGCATCGATGCGTTGGCCCACTCGGTCGGATCGGAGGAAAGATAATGATTGATGAGTAGTCCAGAACATTGAGGCCGGATACCTGGAATCTTCAGATATCGTGCAAAGGCTCACTGCGGTTCTCGTGCGAGACAGAGAAGTGCATCTCGAAACACCGAAGATTCAGGAAGATCGGAGAACTCTCCAAATATCAAATGTCTCGAATCTCGATGCAGCCCATGGTTCACTAAAGTGAGCGACTTATCCTAAAAGAGCAAATGCGTCAGCACACCAGCCGGACTCAGAAATCCCGGCCTGCTACATCTGGAATGTGGGTACGAATTGACTCCCGTCCAGCCTACAGGCCGATGATCTTTAGTTCTGCCCCTGGATTGAACGAGTGTGTCAGTGACCAGCCTTAGAGTACTGAGGATTTAGGCTTTAAGAATTGACCCTACTCTCCATACACAATGTCCGTTAATATGGTTGATAGATTCGCGGCTTTATTTATTTATTATTATTTATTTAATCAAGTTCATTGTCCATACCGAGCCCCTAGGGCTATGACAGACCGTGTGTCGTCGGCCTGAGGCATAGCCTCAGGCCCCTATCAGTTCCTAGGGCTATTCCCTCGTTTGTATACATTATGTTCCTTTTCCTCGCCCCATACCGCCTTCTTGCGCAAGGCTTTTGAGCTTGTTTGCTCTCCTTGGGATTCTAGCAGGGTGGGTGACGCCTAGGTGTGCCCAGGCCACCCTTTAGATTCGCGGCTTTATTGTCGCATGAGCAAAGCACGCCCAAGCCAATTCGTCCGTAGAACCCAGCAATTTGATCGGGTATCTGACTGAATCAACAAATCTGGTTTATTCCTCGGCCATGCTTCTGGATGGGTATATTTTGGACTTTAGCAGAGGGGCGTCGTAAGGCACTAGTAATGAAGGCCTCGGAAATTTCAGCAAATCATCAATTTCATTATATCCTTCATCGAATTACCCTCTCGTACCTTATCAATCCCAACCCACTCGGGGTGTTGAAATGAAAGGTATATGGATATTGCCCTTCCAGAACCGAGCATCCAAAATGCCGTTCCTCTGACGGGCCCGACGACAAGGACACGGCTTCTGGAATTGGAATCCCCGAATCATGAATCACGAATCACGATTCTAAATATGTTTTATGTTACACGTGTGCTCTCCGTGCATTGCATTGACTGCCTGCTGGCGCATCCATAAGCGCTTGAATTTGTGGCCTTTGAACAAACGACCAAGAAAATTTGCGAGATCATACATGTATAACTTTCCCGATGTCGAACCCATCCTTCGAGCCCTCCGAGTTAGTCCACGGAAGCACATACCCGCGTTGATTTGCCAGGACTCGAATTCCTTGATCTTTAAACTCCGTGGTGTAGTGTGTGTGTCCAAAAACCCAAACTTTGACGCCACTCGATTTTGAAATCTGCGAGAGGATATCAGTTGCAAAGGCGGAGCTCCACCAAAGGTTGTTCGCGTGCTGCGGATGGGATGTGCCCTGGAGGGACGGGGCATGATGCGTCACAACTAGTACAGATTGCTTTTTGTTCTGTGTCGTGTTCTTGCTTTGTATTGACTCCATTTCGCTCAGCAGCCAGCCAAGGTCCGCCTCATGAGATTCATTATGGTCATTCAAGGTCCAGTCTCGAATTTTTTTGAAGTCTTGTATCTTCGAGCAAACAACGTCCTTTGCTTCGTCCGGAACCCTAGACCAGAGTGTGCAGTCAAGGATGGTAAAATGGGTCCCTGGGATGTGGTAGCGTCCCCGGTGGAGGAGGATGAGGCGCCCGTTCTAGGAAGGTTCCTGCTCGAGTTGCCTAGCCCTTTGTAGTCCTGCCGCAAAGGTGTCGTTATAGAACTCATGGTTGCCGAGTATCAGAAAGACAAGCTCAAATCGGTCTGTTTGCTTCTCTAAGAAACAGCGATAGTTGTCGTAGTCCACTAGTCGTCCAACATCCCCTGCGAGGATGAGATGTTCAGCGCATACGGTTATCTCAAAAGTCAGGTATTGTTGGTTGATCTCAAGATGCAGGTCAGAGAGAACTTGGAAAGAGGTGGATGACCTATTGAGAGTCGAGAGTATTTTCTTAAACACTATGCCTATCCATTTCAAATTCTTTGGGAGTCACCGGGAAAGGGGGTGCTTTAAGCGCCGTGCCAAGACTTCACTTAGCCGGAGGGATCAATAAAGCAACAGTTGACGCTGCGTTGAACCATTACAATGTTCCACGAGTGGTCCTTGTCCATGCTATCATCTCAGAATTGTCACAGACCCAACAAGCGGCTTGGGAGTGTAGAGCGACATAGGTCAATAATACGGCGAGACGGCGTGAGACAGTTGACTGGGCTCGATTGTTAGTATTCAGACTAATAGGTTGTCTTCTGATTTCTTTTATGAAAAGACTGTAATCATTCACATATTCCAAACTGCTAGTGTACAAGAAGAATGTTGTCTGCTACGTACTAAATACGTATACAGTGTAGTCATACCTAGGTAGTAACTAGCTAAGTCCCCCTTCGCTTTCCTAAAGTTCCCCCTTTATCTACTACCCTTTCCACCGAACCACTCATTCATCGGCCGGCTCTTCTTTCCACCGTCCATTGACTGACTCCTTTTCCAGTGCCCGGCATGGATGATCGAACTGCACACCCCGATGGCCCACTGGAGGAAATCCAAGATGCAGTTCAACGTTCGTTGTTGACACACAAATCCTATGACAGAGCAGTCGTACTCGCACTACGCTGGGACAATGACGATCAGAACCTGGGCTCTCTGGAGACAGAACTTCTGAATGTGTTCTCCCAGAAGTTCTATTATGATATTGATTCATTCATCATCCCATTCACTCCTACAATCGATACACAATACAAGCTCACAGATCTTATCAAGAAATATGACACTCCTCGTACCCTTGTAGTCATTTTCTACGGACATCTTGCTTGGAATTGCAGCTTTGTCCAAATCTTGTGAGTCTGATTACACACGGGACTTGACTCCCTCAGAACACTATGCAAGCAGGCAACTAGTACAAGCGGCAGCCTGGTATCAAAGATAAGGCGAGGTGAGACAACTGTTTGGCCGACCGCTATTATTAAACCTGCATTGGACTGATATCCCCTTCTCGCTTCGTTCTTTTAGATACATCGTTTTCAATTCCGTCCCTGGCAACCTGACAGCGGGCATAGAGGTGGACCCGCTGGGGTGTGAAAATGCAACCTGGTATCTCCCTTTGACTTTCTTCTTTCAAATACATCGTTTTCAATCCCGTCCCTCGCAACCTGACAGCGGGCTGAGGGGTGGACCCGCTGAAGTGCTGTCCCTCCTCACCTGAGGTCAAATACGTCCAACCCTTAGAGATGATTAACCCCTTCTGTGTAATGATATCGTCAGTATACCGGCCAATCGCGTCCAAGGGGACGTTCTGGGGTACACGGATATCGCTTGATCAAATTTCTGCATGTCGGGAGAATCCTATGGGCATACGGGCATTCCTCCCCGGAGCAAACGTAGCCGCGAAAGTGCTGGATGGCCTATCATATACAACATAAGTTAGCTGTAGACCCTAATATTATCATGAACTTTGATTTGTAAACGTACCTCACAAACCGAAACGCGTTCACAATGTTGAAGCTGGCAGTCTCTGGCGGACAGATTGGCGGAGCAGAGGGTGATAAGGTAGTCTCCATCGTAGTCAGGGGGACCACCCGCCCTGGCTGAGCAGGGGGCTCTTGGGGCGCAAGGAGGAGGCCTGCTGAGGATACCAGCTCATCTCGGAAACCGTTCTTTGGTTTCTGAAGCAGCGATAGGAACAAGTCCGAAGAACGTGAACGCCGGAGCAGGAGCAGCAGCAGGGATAGGAGCAGTGACAAAAGTAGTCAGACCAAGACGTGTCCGAGGCCACTTCGCTATGAGGCGAGTCCGACATTGTTGCCAGGAGAAGGGGGAGATGGTTGAGTAGGAAGAAAGGTAGGAAGGTGAGAAGGTGAGGGCAGAAGAGAAAGAGAAGATTGGGAGGTGGGTGGAACATTCACTTCAGGAGGAGGCCGAGTCGCTCTTGCCTGTTTGGGTGGGTTTCCTTTCTTGCACTGCTTTCCTCCTTCATCGCCGCCCTAACCACTTCTATTCACGTTCAACAAGGCAGGGATAGAAGTGAAAGGTACTCTTCTGGACTCCAATGACTTACTCAAAATAATGGCCTGTCTTCTATCTTTGTCTACACACATTCATTTTGTATACGTGTTGTAGTCAAATTTATTTGCAAGTATATCGTAAGGTTATATTCCAAGGACTGGGAACAGACATTAAATCGATTTAAAATACTGGTTTCTACCGAATCTTGTAGCAGGATAAGTCCTATGTATTGTAATACAAAGCACTTTATAACATACCTCTACACTATCTACAGTACCATTCTTTGATAAAAATTGAGTATAGATTTTGTGGGTTATAAATCTTATTCACAAGGCTACGACTAACGGACTGGAAGAATTCACGTTGAAAATCCTTGGAGTTGTGCCCTACTATATGGAATTGATGACTGGTATTCTCTCTAGCAAGGGACACTTCTGGTAATGACAAACCACTCCGGAGTGAAGGAGCGGCTGGCTTAGATGAAGAGGAGAGTGTGTGATTGCTTATAGGTGAAGGAGATCATGATGGCTGGGAGAGATTCATCCTAAATTTGACTTGCATAGTGGTTACGGTAGTCTTCAACATCTTTATCAAAAATTGGAAATCAACTTCGAGGACGGTTCTAAGTTCCAATCTACTATTCTTGACAGCATCATTGCAGCAAACCCTAGCAACCATGTCTAGTCAATAATCGAAACTGCTAAGTAAACTTCCTGCTCTGAATCTCCTAGTGCCAACAGATGGCTAACTTTGGGATAGTAAGCTATCCTTTAACCATATGGGAGGAGACCACTGAAGGATCGATTACCAATGAAACTTGATGCAGATCGAAACTCAACATCATTCTACTTCTGGTGAAGGTGCCTAGAAGGCAGAGGAACAGCCAGAGAAGATCCATATTAGGCAATGCTTATCGGAGTCCTTGCAGGGCTAACAGTCGGCCTCTTCTCCATCGCCCGAGAGTGGCTTGAGCAGTTTCGATCTAAGGGTAAACTAGATGCCTTAATCGTTTTGACCAGACGCCCTGCGGAACACCCGGATTGGGTGGATAAAACGGGGCCCGGAACCCCAGCTATCATAATCACTGCGACCGAAATATGTTCGGAGCATCTAGGGCAGCGACCCAGCGACACCCCCACGTGATTTATTGTTCCGTTTCGGGTTAGCCTAGGAGCACGTGACATGAAAGAAAGCTTGGGGTATCTAAATTCAGTAGTAGGGCTTAGGGTATCATAAACAATGCTGTCAACTTAGCTGCCAACACAGCAATCAAAGGCTATTAAGCTTTACGCGCCAAAATGGCATCAACTACGCCATTAGAAGACGGGTGTCTTGATCAGCTTACAGACCTTCCACCAGATCAACCTGCAGCAACCATATGATATATCTGACTCTACAAGCATTCTACCTCCACCGATTCAAACCTTCAGGGACCATCTCCAAGCTGTTGGAATCTTGAACACCTTTGCCCAGCAACATGGTTATGCTGTCACTATCCGACGTACAAAAAAGGTCAGATCTGGCGCCTACATCAAGGCCGTATGGATTGAATGTGAACGGGGTAGCCATTATACAAATAGAATTGGAGATAGTCAGAAACGCTCTGGGTCATCCACTCTAACAGACTGCCCCTTCTTGATTATTCTTCGACGAAAGAGTGAGGCAGACCATTGGCATATGGAGATACCTGATTATAAGCATAAACATGACCCTTCACCTGTCTCAACCCATACAGCCCTTCGCCGTCAGGTGGTTATTCAGCAGTCTGATCAAATTAAATCACAACTCCAAATCGGCATTTCCCCGCGGCATATTATTACCTCTTTGAAAAAAGATGGCGTTGAGAGCATTCGTGCTCGTGATATCTATAACTTTTGCCGTGATATGCGAAAGAAATTCCTTAATGGCAGATCTCTTATCCAGGCACTTTTAGCTTTACTTCCAGAGCAGGGAGACTGGATTGTGAACTACCAGACACGCGATAATAATGATCTTACAATAACAGCTGTATTCTTTACTCATAAGATCTGCCTGGAACTCTTACGCATTAACAGTTCTGTCCTTTTTATGGATAGCACGTACAAGACAAATAAATACTGAATGCCATTATTAGATATTGTCGGATTTACCGCAACCAACCGGACGTTTTATGTTAGATTTGGCTTTATAAGAAACGAGCGAGAAGAATCATACAACTTCATACTGGGGAATCTGAAGCAGATAATGATTCATTTTGATATCAATACTCCAATGACTATCCTCACTGACAAAGATATGGCATTGATCAGAAGTATTGAGATGATATTTGAGATGACAGATCACATGTTATATCTGTGGCATATTGAAAAGAACATCTTGACAAAGGCAAGGCCAATTTTACGAGATGAGGTTATTCGAATTGAGTATAAAAGTGCTGATTTAGCAATAAAGGATCACCACTTTAGGGAGAAAGTTGACACCGCATGAAAAGCTTTTTTAAGTTTTTTTATGAAGATTGTTAACACCCCTACAGAGGAAGAAATGTGGGCTGAATGGGGATCTTTCCAAGGTGAATATAGCACTGAAATCTAGCGGGACGTCATAGGCTATATTCGAGATGAATGGATAGAGGAAGATACTGCGAGGAGATTCCTGCAGTGTTATACAAAGGACTATCTCTACCTTGGCCAGACAGCAACATCACGGAATGAGGGGGCTCACTGGCTCTTAAAAAGAGATCTTCAAATATCAACCAGCAATCTATTAGGGGCAGTTCAATCATTTGAAATACCGTGAAATATCAACACCAAAAGATTGTGGAAGAGATTGAAGATAATCGCATTCGAAAGCCTATGCGGCTTTTGACTCCTCTCTTTCAACTTACTATTGGAAAGATATCTCATTACGCCCTTAACAAAGTATTTGTGATGATGAATCGCTATTTTCCAAAGGGCCCGGGGAAGGCATCTTTTAACCCAGAGTGCAGTGGGGTAACCAGAAGGACACTAGGAATACCTTGCATTCATATTATCAAGCAACACCTTGATACCGGAGCTTCATTGGGCATTCATGGATTCCACAGCCAATGGCGGATTTATACTGATGAAGATATTCCTCCAGTTAACCCAAGAGATCTTGTACTCCAGCCAGAAGTTATACGAGTGCGGGGACGACCAGCAGGCTCAATAAATCGGCCAACTGCTAGTCAACCAACTGCTAGTCAACCAACTGCTAGTCAACCAATTGCTAGTCAACCAATTGCCAGCCTGCCTGCTACCAGCCAGTTAAAGCGCCGCATGCGGGTGCAGAAGAACCTGCAAGGAAATCTGGAGCTGGCCGAGATCATAGCGATCAGAGAGACAAGCGGTGACTACGGCCGGGATCACCCAGCCGCACTTTTGACTGCTAGAAACATTGCCGAGACACTGGTCTAGAAAGGTGAATTAGGGCAGGCGCGAGAAATGGAACAGGCGGACATTGCCACGGAGGCCACGAAAGGGCATCGAGTCGTCGGCGCACTGCTAAAGCCGGACTTTTGTTCGATTAGAGAACTGATTCCCATCTATGACCTCCTTCCCTGGGGATTAGATCCTCGACGCGATGGAATGGCTTAGCCGAGGTCGAGTGGTTATAAATTGTTATTCGGAATTATCGGTGGCAGGCCGGAATTGAAAGAAGAAAAAGAGAGAGACAAGAAAAACAAGGTCCTATAGAATGTGATTCAGCTGGGTTGGAATAATTAAATAGCTACAGCCACACACCTCGCACCCCATGCTAGCTAGGTAGTGGGCAATAAGTACTTGCAGGTAGTCAAGATCAATAATCATCAAAAGCATTAAATCCATAATACATACTCCGAAGATAGATAAAAGGTCCAAAAAAACAATTCTATGCTACAAGATAAATATCAACAAGAAAGAGAAGAAAAAAGGAAAGTAGTGTAAAGAATGACACCAAGACGCAACCCAGTTTTAAAATATGTACAATGCAATGCAATCCAATAAAGAAATCAAGTCAATTAAAACATCCGTTGCGGTTGTTGTGCTTGATATGGTGACTGCGGCTGCTGGTACCGCCCGTCATGGTATTGATTATGACCACTCGGGACCAACGGCACCGAGAGATCCACGATATCGGTCTGTGATCGCGCCCCCGCCATCGTGTGCGGGCTGCTGCTGCTATAGTTGCTGTGGTTGCTGTGGTTGCTGTGGTTGTACGGATCGTTGTTCCAGCCGGCCTTCTCGCGCGCAGGGCTCCAGTCGTCGCCGTCGCCCAGGGACTGGAAGCGCAGGTCGCCGCGGGCGCTCTTGCCCAGGGCGTCGAGTTCCGTGGTCATCTGGTCGCCGGAGCGCATGAAGGAGTTCCGGTCGTCGTTGATGGGCTGGTAGCGCGAGTCGGGCTCCTTTAGGCGAATGGCGTGGTACACGCCCAGTATGATCCAGATCAGGATGACGATGGCGAAGACGGCGTTGTAGACGAAGAATATGACACCCATGATACCGGTCATTAGCGCGGGTTGCTTGAACACGTCCGAGAAGATGAGTAGGAAGACCGAGTTGACGAAGTTGATGGCCGCTGACGCGATCCCATAGACGTTGGTCCCCTTGTCCATGAATGGTCGGATCACGCTGACTCCGATCAGCATGATGGCTTCGAGTACGAGGATTACTGCGGTCTGGGCGACGGGTGCGGATTGTCCGAAGGCGATCACCATGCCCTTGATGATGGTGTAGATGAGCATGGGCACGATGAAGTAGTAGGCCGTGGCGCGGTAGTTAATGTACAGGAACCCCCAGTTGTTGAAGCACGTCGGGTCCGAGTAAAGCGTGTAGGCGGGGCTGTTGTGCATGCTAATGGATCGCTTAGCGCGCTGGAAGATCTTGAACGTGGCCCAGCCCAGGGCGAGCGAGGTGAGCAGCCACATGGAGATGGCGAGCGCCATCTCGGCGCCGGAGTCTTGGTGCGTCAGCTCCCACAGGCAGAGCACGCACATCTGCGTGTAGCCGACGAACATCAGACGAAAGAGCGTGCCGCGGGTCAGCGTGGTCCAGCCGGCGGTCAGCTGTACGGGCAGGTGCCGTTTCTTGCTGAGAAGCTTCCACACGAGTTTGGTCAGCAGGGCGCAGACGAGGATGACGACGACGATGAAGTAGTAGAAGAAATAGCCCGTCATGAAGACGTTGCTGGGCTCGATGGAGGCGCGGAATCCCACGCGCTCGATGCCGCGCACGGTGACCTGCCCGGTGCCTTCGTCGGCACGGCGCATCAGGCTGCCGACCGCCCGGGAGAGGATGTGCGAGCGCTTTTGCACGATGACCGAGGTATGGGAGAGGTCGGAGAGCAGCGACGTGGGCGTGCCGCCGGTGGCGCGCTGGAACCAGGTGCAGAGCGTCTGCAAACTCTCCAGGTGGATAATGCCCATACTCCATTGGAAATTCTGAGTCCAGGCCTGCACGATGGGCGGCATGTGGACGGACATCATGCCGACCATGGCCTGGGCCTGCATGAAGGTCAGGAAGGAGATGGAACTAAAGGCGACGTGGGTGGCGGTCTGCGAGTGGCCCAGCACGGAGTAGACGGCGGACATGAGGATACCCAATCCAGTGATGACGGCGACGGTCCAGGAGACACCGATCTGGTAGACTGACTTGCTGTTGGACAATTGGGTCTCGACGCAGGCGATGCTATTCCCGGACTTCTTATCGTTGACGGTGATGCGCACGCGAGCATCCAGATCGGGCACGTTGAACGCGATGGAGGGGATCTTGCCCAGGACATCCTTGCTGACAGAGATTTTGGCGGATTTCAGGTCCAATTCACCGGGACTCATGGGACAGAGACCCTTGAGGTCCGAACTGCTGCACGGGTCGAGATGCTCGGTCAGGGCCTTGTAACCGTAGACGATCAGGTCGACTTGCATGTCCACCTTTCCGGAGATGGCGGTGGAACCTTCGAAACCGACCTCGAGGGTTTTATTATTGGGAGTGAAGAGGACGGAGAATTTAGTGACGGAGAGTTTGGTGTTTTCGCCGCATTGGATGAGCGAGTCGGCGGCGATGAAGTTGACGGCCTGGGCGACGGGGACGAGGGCGGCGAGCGCGCCCGCGACAAGGTTGAAGAATTTCATGACGGACGGAAGCCAGCGTCCATGACCGGGAGGGACGGAAGGAGGGACAAAAGGTCGGAAGGTCGCGAGATCGAGGTCACGGAGGGAGAGGAGGAGGGGACAGAGAAAGAGAGAGAGAGAGAGAAAGAGAGGATGAAACGACAGTCGACAGGACACGGATCTGGGGGAAAGTGTCAATTAGTGGGAGTCCAGACTGGACGTCAGGGGGGATAGGCAGCATCTTACTTGTCGGACTAGGGAATTAGGGTCAGGGTCGACTAAGAAAAGATCATCATGAAACCCCTGGGGCTGAGCCATGGTTAGTGCTGAGAAGGGTCCACCGCAGGGGCGAACGCGCAGGACGGGCGGCTACGAGTACGACTGTCCTTACGGCGTACAGAGTATCCTGTTCATTTTGAACAGATTATATTTCGTAGTGCCGTGTCTGTCCTACCGTGCATGGAGCACACGGAGTCTTGAGTCCTGAGTCCTGAGTCCGGAGTAAGGATCATAGATGCTGGGTGAAGGTTTTGCGAACCGACCGGGATTGTATGGATCTGACATAATCGATCCTTCATTTCTCTTTATAGAACCGATAATCATTGAAAAATAAAGATCAATTAGATAAAATAAAATCACGGCAAGAATGCAGATTACTTTCTCTCTCAGTACATCCACAGTTCACTTCACTTCAATTGAAATCCAATTCATTAAGATCAATCCAGCGTGACTCGTATGACTCGCTCCACCGCGCAGATTGCAGGGCACGTGCCGCCGCCACGCATCCGAGCGTTTTTCATAATTATTATGGATTCGCCATTAATTAATGTGAAATCCGTCAGAAACATTCATCCCATTAGGAGTACATTAACATGCCCATTCGGCATAAACGTGGACAATTCCTCCGTGGTGACACCGAGTAATTGCCCGATCTAGTCCTGCACAGCGCTCCACCAAACAAGCAATTCCCACCGACAGGGACAGATGTATTTCCGTCGGAATTACTTTCTGACATTATGCAATTGTACATACACATGATTCCTAGCTCTACTGTCTAGGTAACACGTACTCCGCAGTGTACTCTATCCCCTCGTGTAAGAAAGCTATATAGTTTTTATTGGCTAACTAGGTTACCGCCTACTTCAATATGACTTCCTAATTAGTAGATGGATTATACAATACCACTAAGTTTGTATACAAATGTAATAAATAATTGTACCATTTATTTTTAAAGATATTACTTTATATCGATAATTATACAAACTTATAAAATCGAATAATTACTGTATATCCGGTATCAACACGTCTAAGGTACGCGTTGATTTAAGATGGCAGAATAATTATTTTGTCCCAAGTGCGTCTTGGCACCGGACGAGGGGATACGACCATCACCAACGAACTGATCGGGTGATTCCAACGAAGCACGGAGCCTTGCCAAGAAAGTCTCCGCCGGCCCACGGAGACTTCCTTCCTGAGAGCCTCGTCCGCGAGAGTATAAAGGAATTCAGATCATCAGTTGAATTATTATTGTTATCGTTCACAGCATACTCATCGATCACTATCTGAACAACTCATCGATCATTCAGAATTAAAGCAAAATGACTCAACCCAAATCCATCGCTTTTTTCGGAGCCACCGGCGGCTGCACGCTGAACTGTCTCATTCCCGCCCTGCAGGCCGGCTATCGTTGTTCTGCCCGTACGTCACCCCAGCCTTCTCCCTTCTCACTTTCGTCTTGGTCCAATTCCAATGTCAATCCAATACGAAAAGACAAGAAATAGTCAAGCAAAATAAGAATTAAGAATTAAGAATTAAGAATTTTTAAAAAGACTAACCAAAAAAAAAAAAAAAAAGTGGTCCGATCTCCCTCCAAACTCCACGACCTTCTCCACCAAAACAACGTCACCGTCCCCACCGCCAATCTCGCCGTCATTCACGGTTCGATCGACGACGCCGATGCCGTGCGACGGACGCTGATCGTCAAGTCTTCGTCATCAGAGTCTGCCAGCCACCCGGACAACAATGATGATGATGAGCGCCTGAACCTGAACCTGAAGGGAGACGGATTACCGCAAGGATATGACCTCGTCGACTTCATCGTCTCCGGCGTCGGCGGCACCCCGCGCTTCGATAACCCGCTCCGCCCGACCCTCGATAACCCGACTATCTGTCAGGATGCCGTGCGCGGTGTGTTAGACGCGTGTCGCGCCCTACAGTCAGGGTCCGGGTCCACCGCGAAGAAACCCTACCTCACCGTCGTCAGCACCACCGGCATCGCGACGAAGCGGGATATCCCGATCGCCATGATCCCGCTGTATCACTGGGTGCTGAAGGTGCCGCACGAGGATAAGCGCGTGATGGAGGAGAAGATTCGCGAGGAGATGACCAAGCGCGAGCCCGTGCTGCGCGGCTATACGATCATTAGACCGAGTTTGTTGACATCGGGCGAGGCCGTCGGGACGGCGAAGATTCGCTTTGGTGTTGATGAGGACGCTGCGGTTGGGTATACCATCTCGAGGAGGGATGTTGGGGGGTGGATGTTCCAGAAGGTGGTGGAGGGGGGAGAGTTTGTGGGGAGGGTGGTTAGTTTGACGGCTTGATTTGGTTTTTCCAAGGTTTTGGGTTTTGGGTTTAGGGGTGCTGGTTGTTTTCTGACTCTTTGTTGTTGTCTTCTTTTCTGGGTTACGCGATGCGATGCGATGCTTCGGTTTAGCTATTTGTTTCCATGTCATGGCATTGAACCATTTCGGTCGTCGGATTGTTGTCGGATAGATAGAATAGGGCAGTTCACGGTAATATGAACAAAACAATTAATTCTAGCAACATCATCTCCTCCCTCCTCCTAACCAATCAACACCTTATTATAAACCCGCCAAATCAAAATCCAGATCGAAATTTACATCCTTCCCTCCCGCCATCAACCCCGGAAAACCCAACAACCCAGTCGCATCGACCGGCACATCCCCAAAGAACCCCGGATTCATGATCTCCAGGCCCTGCCAGAGCCCAGCTGTGTCTGTCCCTACATTTACGGCTACATCTCCAATGTCTAGATTAACACCACCGCCATCTCCTGGTGCCCCTCCCGAGGAAGAAGAGGGAAGACCCTCAGGCGTCCAGCCCATCCCGGGGAATTCCAGATCCAGTTCTGGTAGCGATGGCGGTGATCCGAGACTCTGCAGGGCGAGGGATATGTCTTTGAGGCGCTTCTTGGCGGCCCGGAGGATGGGATAGGATGAGGCGGAGGCGGATGTGAGTTCTCGCTGACAGGCGGAGTGCAGGTGGGTTGTGTAGTCAAGGAGGAGTTGGGTTTGGTTTGTGGGTTGGTTGGCAGTGGTGGTGTCGGCGGATGCGTGGTGATGATGATGATGATAAAGATGGGTCAAGGCGCGAGTGCATGTATCCAAGGCGAGGGACAGGAACGGCGCTATGGACACTGAGTCTGTCGGGGGCGCAAAAATCGAAGAGGAAGAGCTGTCTTCTCTCTCGATGCCCTGAACACTCAAGATCGCCTGCACGGAATGCCAGAATGCATCTGTTACGTTCCCATTGTCATTCTCATTCTCATTCGCGTATCCATCAGGTGGACCTGCCCCCGGCGGAAACAACATATGAATGACAATAGTGTGGTAAGCGACCAGCAACTGAGACCGCGACGCGCCGGTTCGGACCTCCGTCTCGACAGCCCGGATCGCCTGCATGAGGATCCCGCGGATTTCACGCGCCAGGGTCGAGAAATCCACCCGCGACTGAAGCAGCCGGTGCAGCTGATAAATATGTCTCGTTTGCCACGGCGTGGTGGTTGATTCGGCTAAGTCTTTCGGCGCGTTCAAATACAGCGTGTAAATGTGTCCGACCGTGCTGCTGATCTGGCTGAGAGGCCAGAGCGTGCGCAGGGCGGCCGTCTGCGCAGGCAAAGTGGATATGTGATCCGACGCTCGGTCGAGGTGAAGGAGAGCCGACGAGGCCTCGTTGACGCAAGGGAAAGCGGGCGTTTCGTCCGGAACAAACAGCGAGAAGGGCTGATCGATTTGCATAAAGGCCCAGGTGGTGGTGGAGAGACAGAGCCAGTAGATGTTCTGCAGAATCTCGAGCTCGACGTCGCTGATGGCGACACCGTTCAGTTTGCGACTGTCTTTGCGCTCGTGTCGCTGCCATTGCTCGTATAGGCGCGAGAGGTTGCGACAGGCGTATCCGACCAGACAGGTGGCGCGGCGGGCGCGGCCGAAGCAGAGGTCGCGCCAGGCCATCAGAATGAGGGACTGTGAGGTAGAGAGTGAGGGAAGGGCAGGGCAACTTTGGATCTGCGTGGTGGCCCATTGGAAGAGGACTTCCGGGTCAATAGCATCGTGACTGGACACACGGGCGCGGTAAAACTCGCTTGCATCCGCGAGGATAAAGCCGAGGAGGGCCTCGTCTATCGTGCCATCTTTGATGCGATTGATGAGAAGCGTCTTGGACACGAGCGCCGACAACGGATGCATGGAATACCACAAATCAACAAGTTGAAGGATGCGTTGCGATCCCAGCGCCGGTAGCGGATTCTCATGCTGTGACGGCTCGAACATCGACGCGCTTGTGTCTGCCGCCAACCCGGTAATAAAGGCATTGCGGTTCGTCACCGACTCCGGTCTCTCGCATCCCAAATGCCCTAGGAGCAGCAGTAACATCTCCACCATCTCATGGCTCATCAAAGACAGCAGCCCGTCATAACTGAGTCGTCGTGGTGGGCCGGCCGGAGCGGGCCCAGATCGCCGATAGAACGAGGCGATGGAATTCTGAAACAAATTGGATTGCGACCCCGGATTGGTGATGAAGTAGGCATCGAACCGCTGCGCGAGGTCCTCGCCGAGCGTGGTCTGAGATGAAGCAGTCTCTGTCGTGATACCTGGGGATGGCGTCGTCTGCTCGGCCGCAGGGCTGGCAGACGAGTCATGTCGGATTTTACGGCGAGGACGGCCCTTACGAGCCTCGGGGCTGTAGACACAGTCGATGTTACGCTCGCGACAAGCGGCGCAGATGTGGCCCCCTGAGCAGCGGATCTTACGCGTGCGACAAAAAATACAACTTCGACGGAGCGTGGGGGCTGGCGATGTTAGTAGGAGCTCGAAAATAGAATGGGGGGCCTACTAGGGTGAGAAGCCATGGTGGCTTGGCTGGGATGATGGAAGGAAAAGAAGGTGGGAGGCCCAACGACAAAGGATTGGAATCTTTACGGTTGGCGTCGGGATTATCATCCTCCGAAGGACACCTAAGCCTACAGCAATCATGATTAATATACAATATTAAAAACAATTAATTGAGAGTATCTACATCTATACATCTAATACCTCGACACATCGCGGCCAAAAATGTTATTCAACAACCACCGGAATGCCACCCGCAGCTTATTCCGCCAGCTGATGCTCATCGTCAAATATGCCGAATTCCACACCATCCACGCCATGCGCCCCGTCAAGTGGCCTGGCAGTAACTTGCTATTGTTCTCTTGCGGTAGCTGCATCAACGCCTTGGCATCGCCGATATACGCCATAGTGCCCATGTTGTGGAACGAGAACGGCGCGCTCTGCTGGAAATCGCCCTTGTTCAACCGCGCTGCCAACCACTTGGCTTCCTGAAATGTCGCCTGGGCTGTAGCTGGCGGCGCGCCCGTCTCGGGCATCGCGTTATCCCCGAGCGCGAACACGTCTTGCAGGACGGCCGTCGTGCCGTCCTCGCCCTCGAGCTGCACACGTAGGTGCCCATCTACCAGCAGTGCGCCGACTTTAGGGGCTTTCTTGATGCGCCACGTTTGGGTATCGGATGATGAAGATCCATCCTTGATGATGGCCGACCCATGGGGAAACGTCTCAAGGTCTTGCATCGACTTGCGCACGAACTTGTTCATCGCGTTGCCCGTTACCCACACGCACATACCCACGCCTACTTGACCCTCCTCCTCCGTAGTCAGGGTCAGACACCGCTTCGGATCCATCGGGTACGGCGGCTCGGCGCCGGGGACACCCCATCGCAAGCTCTGCACATGATGCGACGTCTTGATATCAATACCCTCCTTCTTCATCGTCTCCATGGCATACCGCGACAGTGACTCGTCGAACATCGACAGCACCTTCGGTGCCACGTCATACAGCGTGATGCGTGGGATGCCCTGGAGACCTGGATACAGCCGAACCAAATCCTTATAAATGAAGTCGCGTAGAGACGCCGCCAGCTCGGTGCCGGTGGGGCCCGCGCCCACGATGGCGAAATGCAACAACCACTGCCTCATCTCGGGGCTCGTGGTCGGCAAAACGGCCAGCTCAAAGCACTCTCGCACGCGACGCTTGACACGCCGCGCATCGCCGATATCCTTGAAAAACATAGCGTTGTGCCGCACTCCGGGTGTGTCAAAGGTCTTGCTGACGGCGCCGACAGCAACCACCAGTTTATCGTACGGCACCTCGAACATCTCGCCCTTCTCCCAGTCCCGTGCGCCTTGCATGGGCTGGTGTTTAGTTGTCTCAGGCCCCTCCTCGACCTCGCGCTCATTCTCGTGCGTGCGCGGCGACTCCGTCACGCCGCTCTTCACGACCGTCGCTTCGCAGAGCACCGTCTTCTTCTGGAAGTCGACACTGCGCGCGGCCGCCTGGATGAAATCGACCTGGGCATGCGGATCGCGCACAGGCTCCACGATGTTCGAGAAATCCAACGACCCCCCTGCGGCGTCCGTCAGTAGCGGCGTGAAGACGAAGTATGAGCGCGGGGAGATGACGACGGGCGCGAACGATTGAGCGGCAAGTTTTCGCGACAGTGAGTAGCCGCCCCAGCCGGATCCGAGGATCACGACTCGTTCCTTTTTCGCATCGGATTCGGGGATGGCAGTGGAATGCTGTACCTGAGTTGCAAAGGACCTGGCGGCGCGGGCTTTCTGCAGACAAACAGGGCGGGAACGAGTCGACCGTAGTAATAGTGCACTGCGAGGCACTGCGGAGACGACCTTCATTGTGTCGTGCAATTCAATGATCAAAATGCGACGGAAATCTTGAAGAGCATTATAGACATAGGAAGGTAGAAACAAAAATTGTTTCTGTCGGGAGAATCGGTCCTGAACACATGATGACCTCATACACTTTCACCTGCGGTCTCGGAACATTGAGGGCATGGAAGGACCCGGTCCGTCCAGAGACAAAGGAGTTCGGTCCACGAAGTTTCCATACTATTTCCATCTCACTGAGTCATCCCCTGCTCCACTGGAAGAAATCGGCGGCTTCAAACAGCTAGACTGTCGTTCTAGGTCCAGGTTCACGGGGAGCAATGCCCCGGGTCCGTAAGGGTCACACGGGCGAAAAAGGATCGGGAATTGTAGGCCTAGTCTGAAAGAAATTCGACAATCACGCGCCGGCGCAGAATCGTAGATTTCCGGACCGGTCCACATTATTCCATTGTTATGGTTTTTTTTTATCGCCGACTTCCCTCAACGGCTCGGTCATTTGCGCCTGGTCGAGTCTAATTGTTCAGTTTGAGTTCCACTGCGGAATCCGCGGATCGCTGAAGTTCCGATTCCGAATGGTTCGGTAGATGATAACATTTGCTCGTGCTTGTCCACATGCTGCGTGTGTCGGGGTTTATTTGACGCATGTGAGATGGAAGAATAACGAGAAAGGGAGAGAGTGTCAGGTTGAAAAAAAAGAAGAAGAAGGGAGAGAGGGGGAGGAGAGAGTAAAAAGAGGGAAGAGAAACATCGTATGATGACCCCATCTGGCGATTAGTCATCTTTTTCATAGATTGTCACAACAGATAAGTTTAATACTACTTCCCAATCTATCATTTAATGCGAATTATGCGTTGAAACGTAATTATTACATTAAGCTTCAGTGCATTGACTCGTACTCGAGAGATCTGATCAAAAGTCTCGTGAGTAATGTGCGAGGATCCATTGAAAACTTTCCAGGCGTGATGTTGTAGGAATGCAACTTTAAATTGTAAACCTCAGTCTGTCCCCTAAATGTGTGATGGTGTTTGGAATTGAGTTTATTAACATATAATACGCTGTTTTAGACCCTAATACGAAATTAGGTCCTTCATCTTGAGCTAAACCAACTTCGAACACATCGTGTCGATTCTAAAACTGCCCTTTCTACTCCGTACGGAGTAGCACAAATCTACCAAAAAGCTGGAATGTAGTTGAAATGTCTCAGAAGAGACTAGTTAAGCCATAAATGTTATATAGACAAATTTCTCAGTAGTTTGCAGGCTCTCATTAAGCCAATATACTACTTGCATGATTGTGCTCAAACACCCTGACTCAAAGGAGACGAAACAACCGATGGCCTTTCTCCGGTGGGTAACTCCGAGCTTCAATCAGAGTGACATTTTTATATATTCCCACAAGCCAACTATAACGCCAATGCAGTAAAAGTGGTTCCAATAGCGACGCCTTAAACGTGGAGGCCTTGCGGAGTATGGAGTAGTCTACGTCAGTCAGCCCAGCAGTGAAGATGGAGATTAGGATCATCTCAGCTCGCCCAATCATGGCAGTAACTGCATTGATAACTGATCTTATTTCACTGAGATTGTGTACGGTGTATCAGAGCCAAGTTTTCATCGTCAGGGCTCATATTAAACAGTCGATAATCAGGGGCGAAAGGGAATCCGGATGTTGGTGTCAGAGGCTATCGTTAGCCCTAACTGCTAACATCAGAGGCTCAGCCGCAGTCCGCAGTGGAGCGCAGGATTTAGATTTTAACGCAAGGCCAGCCTTCTTTTACCCAACAGACAAGATTCTATAAGATTAATCCGATAGGGCAAAGATGGACCCCACACCAATCATAAGGAACAGGATCAGCGCAAAAGAGACGGCAGTGCTTGTCTTGTATTGTACCTGTCGCATTCGTTTACGCAACAAAGGATCTGTCATTCTGATCAATGTCAAACAGTCCCATGTCATACTAACGAGATTATGGATTGAAAGTGTTGTACCCCGGGGATATAACGCGGGGGTCATCCATTCTCGAAATCAAGTCACATATCACTCTCTTTAACGCTGTAGCAACTCTCGTTAAAGATATAGCACTATGCACGCCATCTGGGTCGTCGGACTCGGCTCTCTCCTCCTGGCACCTGCCCAGGCTTTCCCTCATTCTAGTTCATGGGCCGTGTCTTGCTCGGGCAATTGCTCTACGCCGTCGTCGTCAGCCGTAAGCCCGACTGGTTCGGGACCGGTGACTCTGAGCGATTTGACTACTACTGCCCTTGATTCTACAATCACTGGCCCGGCAGACGTCTTCTCAGTGCCATCTTCATCTGTGTCGACAGATGATGGCCAGACTACTTCGGTTCCGGTGATTCCCTCCGACGGTGTCACTTCCAAATCACTGATTCCGTCTGCATCGACTGAATCTACGGCCGTTACCAGTGAACCTGTCACTCCTTCTGAGTTTAGCACCGCTGTTCCTGATTTTACTGCATCTAGCCCTACTGACTCTGGACCTCCCACTTCTACGTCACTGATATCGTCTGCATCAACTGGTTCCACAGCTGCCGTCTCTTCTCCCGACTCTATCGCATCGACATCCACCGGGTCTGGAGCCGTGACATCGAAGTCTTTGATTTCGACTGCGTCGACAGAATCGACCGCCGTGACTAGCCCTACATCTACCACATCGGGGTCGGATTCAACCACCTCCAGCTCGACCAGCACCAGATCCTCGACAGAATCAACACAAACATCAGATAAATCCACTTCCAAAGCCACGACCCAGGCCACCACCGACTCTCCCTCGAAGACCACCGAACACCTCTCGACCATCACTTCGCAATCGGTGTCCCTCGAAACGGTGCACACTCTGCCCGGCATCACCGGCAACACCATTCTCACGACCACCAGAGACGGCCACAAGACCAAGGTTCCCGTGATTTATAACTGTGATTGGTGTGGAGGAATCGTGGTTCTGTGGGGAATGGGTACGCACCTGATCAATTAAGATCTCTAATCTGTACTGACAACCTGCACTATAGGCACCGTCAATGGTATCTATCCTCCTCCGGACCCTGAGTGGCCAACTGTTACCATCGAGGACGGTGCTCCGACGGCCGAGCCTACACCGGATGACGATCCTGAACCTGAACAGACGGCATCGGATACCAGACCGACTGAGACTTCCTCTGAGGATTCTTCCAGCAGCACCAGTTCTCAGTCTTCGACGTCGACTCCGACTTCAACCACCATGTCTTCAACTACCGTGTCTTCACCGACGAGCACGCCCTCTTCCACTACGGCTTCCACATCCACCTCCACCTCGGCCGAAGTTTGCACGCCCAGACCACAAGTGACTGTATCTTAGGTGTCCGGAAACCCATACCTATCCACCACTGCTCAATCCACCGACTCTTCCACCGGCAGCACCGGCAGCACCCTGAGCACCACTTCATCCCCCACCTCATCCCCATCCACCATACAAACCCCCATCACGCAAACCCACGACAACGCCGTGGTTCTCTGCTCCAGCTACAAAGTTGCCACCATCACCAAACCCATCCCCTTCGGTCCCAAGATCTCCGGCCTCTCAATGACCATCTGTCAAGGCGATAGCTCCACGATATCCACCCTTCCCCCAACATCAACAACCGCATCGTCCACACCCACCGTCTCCCCATCCCCGACGGAGGAAATCGCCTGCTTCGAAACCCACGGATCCAGTGATGCCGACAAGCTGATCCTGCAAGCCAACCTCGAAGAAGGAATCGACGAGTACTGCCGCGGCGGGGACTACAAGTCGTCGATCCGGTCGGCGCCGTCGGATTCCTGGACACAGCGCGACCCGGTGGAGAATAACCATTATTTCGCGGGGTATGTGTTTGACGATGACGCGGCGGACGAGTGTCATCAGCTCTGGGAGGACGATTCGTCGTCGTTTGTCAATTCGTTGTGTTCGACGCCGTTGCAGGCGATTCGCGAGAAGTGCGAGTGGAATGGAGGCCGGGTGAGGAATGGATGTGGAGAGTGGTGGTTAGGGACGTGTGTGTTGGGCATGGCGGCGTACAATAGTTATAATTTGTGTGAGCCGAACAAGCAGGATACCATTTGATCTGGGGTTGGCTTGGGTTTTGGGTTGGGTATAGTGTGTTGATATGGAATCCTTTCTTTTGAATGTGTCTTTCCTTGTCTAAGTAGTTTTTTTTAGTTTTTTTTTAGGAAAAAAAAAATTATATTCATAACTTAGGTTGGCTCTACTGCGGCACACTGGTGATAATTGCGCCGGTGATAGGTAAACAGAACGAACCTATGGAGTACCTGAACCTAGCCAAGGCCCATGTCTTAGGGGACAGACTGCTAGACACCAAGTTTCAAAACGCTTCTATCGACGTTATTGTCGAAAGAAGCCAACCCGCTGGACGGGGCGGATATCCTCGCACAGGTCCGGAAGTGATCGGATATATCTATCAGAACACGGCGGAATCGGCACTGATTCGGGACTTATTTGTGGATCTGTATAGCAGTCATGGGACGAGCTCGTGGCTAGATTACTGGCGTGATTCCGAACCTATTCCGGTGCCTTTTCTTTTCAGGCTGGCCTCCAGACTTATGGATGGAAGCAAGGTGTCCATTACAGCCCACAAGTATTACAGCACCGATGATGTTGAGCCGGCAAAAAAAGTACGTTTCCCCAGTCAAAAGCCCTGCCGCCACTAATAGTTGAAATTCAGAAACGACGGAGGGTTTCTAGGCCCTCTGCAGAATTGGTTCTTGGGATTTAGACCTCCTTGCTCTAGATGTATCTCAAAGAGATAATCAGCCAATGTTGCTCTGACATCTGTTATATCAGACAGTTCGCTGCTGAATTTCAGGATCTCCTACAAATCAGTTAGTCTGTTTAGAATTCTCAAGGAATTATCTCGTTGGCTCCAGGCCATTTTTCTTCTTATACTATCGATTGAATATTATCACGCGTAGATATTGTATACGTTCTTTATTTAATAGGGCTGTGGCCAGAATAGAGCATACACACTGTTACAAAATAGCTGCCTCTGCGGGGTAATCATGGCCAAAAGATTTCCGATCATAAACAATACCAATGGAGCAATGTTTTTGATTTGGTCTATCGGCAGAGGGGAGAAAACTTCAGCGGAAGCCATGCCGACGAAAAAATAAAAATAAATGCATCATCCGTGAATCGAACACGGGCCTCGTCGATGGCAACGACGAATTCTACCACTAGACCAATGATGCTAGTTGATATATGTTTTGTGCTTTTTTGATTTAATAAGCAATGAACAAAAAACAGTGACCATTTGGCGTGAGAATGCGAGAAGGGAGGCATGTCGGTGCTATCATCTATAGCACGGTAATAAAAGCCATCTGTGTCTTCCGTTTCAATATTATTGCATTATAGGAGCGTTTATCCAGGGTAAATTGAGGAGGTGATCTCAAAGTTCGGATCATGAGAGCCATCATAGTTTTACGACAGCTCTATGCTCGATGATATATATCAAAGACCGGTCCCTTCAGGAACCATTGGTGCCGCTGAATTCTGTTACTCCCACATAGGCGTAAATGAATTAAAGGACAGTAATGAAATGGGTCTCTGTAATGTCAAGAATGGTTATAAATTATTCAATCTTGATGTTGGGGTTGTTCTGTCCGTCATACAAAGCAGGATGTTGATGTATAGAGCCTATCCTTCGTACTAGTCCAGCCTTAACTTGAGGGGGTAACCTGGGCTAAATTTGTAGATTCGAACATTTCAAGTCCGTTTGTAAATCAGGAAGACATGGATGAATTGTGCCATCGTTAAGAATCATTGCCGGCATAGATAGAATGCCATCTTCTCCACCTTCTTAGATCATTAAATCTTGAGGTTGGGTCGGATTCTCACAATGATGCTTGAATTGGAGCTATAATGATTGATTTATTTTACACCAAGATTAGGAGGAAGATACTTAGCTTTGCGAGACAAAGAATATGTTAATAAGGTGGAGTAGCGTGGAAGGAGCAAGGATATGTTTTCCCTCTTTGTGCCGATGAACCGCTAAGGAGGAATAGGAGAAAGGAAGAAAAAAGAAACAAAAAGAAGACCGAGGAAACAGCCGGGGAATCACAAGTCTAGAGGAAGGCTGTGGCCATAACCAATATCCCGATACCTGGTGGCTGTCTTGGTCCCTTATCTTGTATTAAGCCAAGTGATAGAGATTGTCCTTTTGATGAAATCAGGGATGCTTCTATCGCTTTGCTTTGAGCCGAATCACTTGATTCTTGACTAAATGGCATAGTCATTCCCGTAATCTTGACTACAGCGGGGCTGTAGCATTATGGGCGACCTTGAGACGATATAACAGATCTGGAACTAGAGAGATTTGGTTGAAGACGCTGCTTCTCGGCTCTGCCACATTTTCTTTTCTAAATTGTGCAACTCATGCCCATCGCATGCAGACTTGAAGACGTCTGTCTCGGACATGGAGCAAAAATGACTTGGGACGAGAGTCTTCACAAGCAGCGAAGGCAAAAAGAAATGACATTCAAACTTTGGTAACTGGTGCGCACCATAGCTATCTTGTGACATGACTATGGGTTGATTGTTCAAATTTCTCGCTCGAAGAGTTTCCATCATCAGAGCCGTTAACCTACCTAGGCCCTCAAAAGCACCTATACCGGGAAGAGGGAAAGCATCCGAGTCTTCAATGGACACACTTGAACAGGACTGGATTTCAACACTTAAGCGCCCGGACAGTTCTTTGTATCCCAACGGACGGGTCCCGTGAAGTATCCTTTTGTAGAGCTCAACTCTCTGTATCGCCGCTAGAACAAAGGAATACACAAGTATAAATCTCGAGAGACTCGCCCGTCCATCATGAGTAGCATATTCCTATCTTCAACAATATCCTTGTATACGACAAAAACAATTCTATTAAACAACACAGCAAAAGTAAAAACATACCATGGAGCTTAAGACTCACCCACGAGAGCTATCTCGATCCCCATCAAGTATCGCGCATGTCACAGGATCTCGAGGAAAACTCAGGGAATCTCCTACCATCTACCCAGACCTTTCTCTCCAGCCAGGCAGGCTCTTCGCAAACTAAGAAAGCTCGACATGTTGGCATTGTCGGTGTCGGGTTCGCGGGCCTGCGATGCGCAGACATTCTACTCGCGCAGGGACTCGAGGTGACGATCCTTGAAGCGCGCGATCGGATTGGAGGAAGGGTATGTATACCTAATGCAACACTGGCCTCTGAGTCAAAAAGCAGTGCTAACTGAACTCTCTCTTCACAGGTCCACCAGACCGACTTGCTGGGCCATCCAGTAGACATGTGAGTGTATTCCCGCCCCGTCGCAATCTATCCTGGGGGCATAAAGACTGACTTTTGTCATTTGGAGAAAACAGGGGCCCCAACTGGATTCACGGAACATCTACCAATCTGATCATAGCCCTAGCCAAAGAGACCGGAGCTGTGCTTTGCGGAATGGAAGACACTCCTTTCATCTTTGGAAGGAGTGGCCAGGAGGTCGATCCGGAGAAGGTTGCCTGGGCCCTAGACACGGTCTAGGACCTTGTCGACAAAGCTTTCAAGTACAGCAATGATAAAAATTCCCACATCCCGTCATATTACACCCTGAAGGACTTCTTTGCTGATCAGGTTCAGAATATGGGTCTGTGCGACACAGATTCGACGCTCGTTATGGACATGGCTGCGATGTGGGGAGGATTCATTGGTGATTCCTGGGAGCGACAAAGTATGAAGTATATGTGGTTGGAGGAATGCTTGGGTGGCGGTATGTAATGATTGATCCTGGAACTGACTGACCTTCAATGATGTGTGGACCCATGCTAATCGGATTCGCAGACAATCTGTTCGTCAACACCCACGGGAAAATCCTGGACCGCGTTGCGAACACGGCTCTCCAAAAGGCAACAATGCACTTCAACACAGCCGTCACGACGATTACCAATTCTCCAGACAAAGACCACCGAGTGTTTGTGCAAACGAAGGATGCTCATACCTTTGAATTCGACGAAATAGTGGTGACAGTACCACTAGGAGCACTCAACAACCACAGTATCGAATTCAACCCACCCCTGGCTCCTCAAATCACCCGAGCCATCTCAGAAGCCACGTACAGCAGCTTGGAGAAAGTGTACATCCGCTTCCCCTCTGCATTCTGGGACGCGTCATCCGCTTCGCCAGGACAGCCAAGCCTGGAATCCTTCGCGCACTTCCTCACCCGAGTACACCATGCAATCGAGCCCGGACTCCTGGGACATTGAAGTTCTCTCCCTCGCCTCGAGCGAGGTCTTCGGCGCAGACAACACCCAACCGACCCTTCTTTTCCAGCTGTACGGGTCCTGCGCGGCCAAGTTGATGCCGCTCATCGCGCCACACGATCCCACCTCTGCGGAATACTTCCAGATCATCAATGATTTCTTTCAACTGTATTACAGCCGCCTTCCGAACTACCGAGCCACTGACTCAGATTGTCATCCGGAATCCGTTCCCACGACGAACTGGCAGAATGACAAGCTCGCCGGAAATGGCTCGTACATGAATTTTACGATTGGCGTGGAGGAGAAGCAGAAGAAGCAGAAGTCGGAGTACAAGCTGGAAGAGGGGATCCAAGCCCTCCGACACGGACAGCCCGAGCGTCATATCTGGCTGGCCGGGGAGCATACAGCGCCTTTTGTTGCGCTGGGAACTCTGACCGGTGCGTATTGGAGTGGCGAATTTGTTGCAGTGAGGCTCCTACGGACTTGTGAGTGAGAGTAGTGATTCTTGATATGATTAGAGGTATCTGGAGTGCTGCTTATTGTTTCGATCTCGGTTTTGGTGCTATAGATGATAGATATAAATGTGACAATTGTTTCATGTTACTTGTTTCCGGCCAGTGAAATCCCATCCTGTATAGTATAATATTTGAAGTCCAATATCGTACACAGACAGTAGTTCCCTAATGTAGAACTATTGTAGGTACCGGTGACCACAATAAAAGTTGACGTTCCTCGACTATCCAGTCATTGAGAAAACGCAGTCGGATCTCCAGGCAGAAAGAGAAGTCGAGAAGAGAATAAAACGATGCATGGCTGAGAGAAAAAACATATTTTGGAGAACAGAAGACAAGGCAATGAGCACAGAAAGCTGGGCGCTCTTTGCCTCCACAATGGGTAAACAACTTTTTCTTCTCCCACTAGCCTCTCCCACGTTTCTAAAACCCCTGAGCCCGAATCTTGCTTGAGTACCTACAGGACGATAGAGCATATAAAGACCAGCGCTCATGGGTGTGGATTTTTTGTCTTTTCAGTTTCTCTTTCCACGCGTTTTCTCTTTTCGCCCGGTTACCTCCCTCCGTCCTAATGTCCTCGAATCCCATTTTCAAAATTTCTCTTCGAAGATTTGGGTGTCATAACTCTCAGCGAAATCAAGGGCCTTGCTTGGCGATTTGAAGATGAAGAATCTTTTCTTCATACTAGCCCAAGTGTAAGCAGCTGTAAAATCAAAAGGGAGCATAACCTTCCGCTTTTCGTTGGGAGGATCTCTAGAGGCCCTAGAGACCGGAATTCGGGGGAGAAGAGTTGACGTAGTTGTGAGTTACTGGGCTCGATAGGCAAATTCTGCACATACAGCTTGGTTGTTGCCGTCCACTTTATGGGATGCATGGAGAAAGTCCGTGCTGCAACGGTTCCTGGGATGCAGGGACTTTTTACCTGCATCCCCGGTGGCCTCATCTTCAAGGTCCTCACCGTTATCTTCCAGGCCCTGGAGCATGGCGAGATACTCCTGGTGTATCTGCTCCACGGTTGAAAACTTATCATTATTGTGAAAAAAGTGGAATTCCCCCATCTCAATATCACACAGTCCCACATGCATCGCAAGAATTTTAACCTGTGGCCAGTCGTGGCGAGGTCGATAGTAAACTATGCACCTTGCCTTTCCGAGGTGCACACCCGCGTAGCTCGGAAAAGAGTAAAGGAGGATTTGAAAAGAGCCTCGGTGTTTGGAGACCCTCATCCAGGACGCATTGTCTGTCATTGACGCTCAGCAAAACATTGAACACCCCTGCTCTCAAGCCTGTCTCTTCAAGAGAAAGATGGAGAAGGAGAGAAGGGGAGAAGGGGAGAAGGCCTGCATTATATAGCCAAGCCTACACCTTCACTTATCTTCGCTGTGAAGATCTGGCAGTCCCCATGGATAATACTTCACTCAGAAACGCCTGTCATTCCTGGAAATAGTGAAGGATAGAGAGAGTTCATTGTTTTGTATAGTAGAGCATTCACATATCATTACGTTCTATCATTAATATAGGACGTCCAACCCCTTCCAGTCACTTACAATAGAAGTAGATAGGGATATGGAAGCCGACATCATCATCAGCCAGGGAAAGTGATTCCCGTTAATATATGCTGCGTAGAAATAGCTACAATGAGAACTTAACATTGACAATAGAGAGTATGTTCTGCTGGGAATGTTGCTAGTAAACTAAATTCTAATGAATAACTTCATTGAATATCTATGTTTAATTCCCCGGCTGCAAAACTATGGCGAAAATCCAAATTTTTATGCGAAATGTCTATCCCTGATGAATATTGCCAACTATCCAAGAACATGTGTATTTTGTGGTACAATTGTTTGCTCGGCCTACTATGACACCGAGCCCTTTATCTTGACCGGAACCAATTCCGAATACAATCGTCTCGAATCCCCCCTTTTCCCGAGCAACACAAGTCTGTCCAAATGCTGGCTATAGTACGAAGCGTACTTCCCCCTACCACCGCCATCATCTTCCGGCAGGGCAATTGCCTAGATATCGTTCCCAGCCGCTTTTTCCTCGTTGATGAGCCGCGTAAGTTCCCAGACCTGAGCGATGGGAAAGCTCCCCTCCTCCAAGGTCGAAAAGCTGCTCCATTCACACAACCAGGTCTCAATCCACGCCCCAATGGCGGAATCATGGCAACGAAGAAGGCAAGCGGCGAGAAGGCTGGAGATTCCGATGGAGTAGACGTTTTCGCGGAAGCAGGTTTGCTTATCCGGGCCGGCGACGATGCGAAGAATGATTTGGATCCAGTGATTGGTTTCTGTTTCTATTTCCATTTCTGCTTCTGCTTCTGTCTCGGTGGTGGTGGTGTTTGATGGGGTATGAGGTTTCTGTAGGTCGTGGAATAGTGTCGTGCATTGTAGAAGCCGAGAACAGGCATAATATGCGTAGTTCATTGCTAGGGCGTGTGAGGTAAACAACAATAGATGAGTACTAATACTACCAGAACTGGGCTCTTGATTGTGGGCGTCGAGGCCGAGGAACGATTCAATGGGGAGCTCGCATTGCGGAAGCGCGGAATGCCATTAATCAAGTTTCTTGGATTCGATCTCTAGCGACGTAATACACTGGTCAACTATGAGGTCTGGATGCCGGTGACCGCATAGCCAGAGCTGTAGAAGAGAGATGTTGTTGAGACGATTTGATTCGCACAGAATGGATGTAACTACCGCTCGTCGTGCGTTGATGGCGAGAAGGATGTGGGCAATGTCCGGAGATAGAGCAAGTGAGGGTTGGCGGAGCTGGAGTGAAAAGGAACTGAAGTGCATCCTGAGCCACCAGTTGTGGTTTTTCGCCAGAATCCACGCCGCGGTCAGCTCGCGGCCGAGCGTCTGAGATAGTATCTACGTCATCAGAGCCTACTGTTGTTTCAACGGTCGTCTCTTTGATGTACACGACTCTGGACCGTTTGGGATAGCGAACCCCGTGTGACGCATTCGTTAGTACGACGCTCGTCCGGAAGTCGTAGTTTGAAGAGACCGCTTCGCATTCCTTGCCGTGGCGCACACACACGTTACATGATGGCTTTTCCTCATCGCACTGGAAACGTTGAGTCTCAAACTATCACAGACAGTAGACAATGGCAGAAGTACGCATGTACACACCTTCACCCGGCGTTATCGGCATGCCTTGCAACCAGACAGGGTCCGAACGATGTTCGTCTTTTTTGGACGTTGAGGGACGGGGTTGTACATTGTACATACTATCTCTGAAAAATAATGGGGTATCTCGTATCTTTCAGTTGTGGAAGATCCGAAGATGGAAAGGGTTCTGTTTCTTAATTCTTCGAGGTGGCTTCGGTGGGGTTTGCCACATGGAGACTCGACCCGCCTGGAGTTCCTACCTCTACATACTTCCTCTACTTAGAACTCTTTCACGGCCCTCACATTTTTGAATATGTTTACGAATTCTCCAGCTAAAATAAGACGATTCTGGCACCAAAGTTTCAATGAATGCTATGACCACCTGCCTACTATTCATTCGGTTCGAACAAGCTGCCCGATATCCGGATACACATCATGTCTCCTCTGACCGGTAATAGGAATCGCCAGACGAGCCTCTTCAATCACCCCCGGTTCCAATGTTGCATACACAATGCCTTCACCGTCCTCGGTCCCCGCCACAACCCGACCCATCGGATCGCTCACCATACTATATCCCCAGGCCGGGTACGAAGAACCGGCTCCCCTCGACTGCGAACACAGCACCGTGTAGACCTGATTATCGACCGCACGAGCCCGACCAAGCAGCTCCCAATGAAGCGGTCCCGTCGTGGTATTGAACGCCGAGGGGTAAACGAGAGCGAACGCGCCCTGTCGAGCAGCAATGATACTGGGCTCGGCAAACCGCATGTCGTAGCAGATCCCGAGCCCGATTCGTCCGTATCCCTCCAAGTCCACGACTGTGATATCGTCCCTAGCCGAGAGGGTGTCTGATTCACGGAATGACATTCCGTTGGGGATGTCAATGTCGAATAAATGCATTTTGCGATGCGAGGCTAGTAACTTCCCTTCCGGGGAGTATACCGCGCAGGTGTTGTAAATCTTGCCAGACGGGGGGTCAAATTCGGGTACACTTCCACCGATGACGAAGGTGCCGGTCTCCTGGGCCATCTGTGCCAGTGCGGCGAAACTCGGAGAGGTTATGGGATCCGGGGGTGTTGATGTTGACAAGGGTTCGGCATAGTCGCGAAACGTACGACTTCGAGAAACAAGGACATGTGCGACTCTTGGGGGTTTATTCGCATAGCAGTCTCAGTTACGCGGGGACGACGGCCCAGGAAGCGATGATGCACTTGATCAACGAGATCACCTGCTGCAAAGAAGCCGTCCAGCACCATTTGCAACACTTCCCGGGGAAACGGTTGGTGATTAGTGTGGGAGCGACGCCACAGGTTTTGTCATCGCAGCATCTCCTGCGAAAAGATCACCAGGATCACCGCAAAAACCCCGAAGCCGGAACTCTGAGACTTTTGCTCAAGGCGCCATTTTCAAGTGACTTGGACGCGAAGATCACGGTGGAACTTCATGCCGGGGCCTACCTGCTGCTTGACATGCAGCAGTTATCGACCGATGCCGGTCCCCACGCGCGGAGTCCCCATGAGGATATCGTCATCTCGGTGCTCGCAGAAGTCTGCAGTGTCTATAACGACGGCGAGAGATCTTCTCCGGAGGCATTTCTTGCCGCCGGGACGCTGGCGCTAGGAAGAGAACCGTGTCCAAGTTATCCCGGCTGGGCGGTGGTGTCTCCCTGGCGGCGGTCGTCGCCGACTTCAGACTCATCTTCGCGGTTGATTGTGGAGCGAATTAGTCAGGAGCATTCCATAACTAGTGTCTTGGGATGATCAACGGGCGGATTTACCTGGGATTCCTCTTTCTGTGGGACAGGTAGTGAAGCTCTATCCGAATCATGCTTGTGTCGCGGCATCGTTCTATAATTTTTACTTCGTGGTGGACTCGGATCAAGATACCGAGGCAGCGAGAATTGTTGATGTGTGGGTGAGGGCGAAAGGTAGCGAGGCCACTGATCCGATGATGCTTTCAAGGGCCTAATAGTTGTGCTTTTGTTGTATACAGTTTGAATAGAAGTTTGGTTCCAAGGGTGAAATCTACAGTCCAGATTATTTTTGATTTTGGTAAGGTCCTAAATAAAATTATCAATAGTATAAATAAGTATAAAACTGCAACAAAACAGTATTAACCACCACCACACAGTTCCATTGCCTTGATGTGGTCGTGCATCATGTCGAGCCTTGTCCGCTTCTCTACAATAACGAGCCCTCCCCATAGATCTTCTCATACGTCGCCATGGCACGGAGTGGAAACGAATAGATATAGTAGTAGTATGTGATATGACTGTGAGCTGGTCAGCATTGGCTCTGAGGTGCCAGTGGGTGGGAGACCGTAACATGTAATAATGCCACAGCCGACAGAATATTCTTGTTCCCATTCACCGTTGGGCTTTTGTCGACTCATTATGAGATGGAGGCCTCGTTTGATGGGCTCCGAATCAGGATAGCCGGCGTACGTCAGCGCGAGGCAAGACCATGCTGTCTGGACTGTGTGCGACCTGGGCGCTCGGACATATGAACCAGTCAAACGGGACTAGAAGCGATTAGCAAGCCCCTAGTTTCGCAAGACGTCTACAGTAGGGAAGATTTGAGGATGTCAACTCACATCTAACGTCTCTCCCCATCCTCCGTCCGACTCCTGCATATCAAGCAGGAAGCGACAACCCTCTCTGACCACAGACGAGTTCTCATAGTTCCGTCCACCGCAGTGCAAGGCTTCCATTGCGAAGAAAGCACCATACGTGAACGTTAACCCCCAAGAAGCTATCCAGCTCCCATCCTCCTTCTGGCTGCTCTCCACGAATTTTACCCCCCGCTCAGTAGCGGTATCAACCTCCTGGGATCGATAATCGTCATTTCGAGCCCGAAAGAGCTCCAAGGCTGTGATGCACGAGGAGGTATATTCGACGTAATCATGCTCCGTCATCACCTGGCCAAACATTTCGGTGCCGTTGAGATGCTCCAACCATGCGCCGGCGCCAATGGGCTCGAAGCTGCTATACCCCCCGCTAGCATTCTGGATCATGAGAAGGTTGTCCACGGCCAGACGAAGATTCTCCTTGCTCGTTTGTCTGAGACTCGTCTCCCTTTCCACGAGAAGAATAGCTTTCAGTGATTCAGCGGTGCAATCAGAACAAGGAATACCATGGTAACGGACGGTAAAGGACCAGGCTCCGCGTCAACTCGGGCGATGGCAAGGTGGGCAATCATTCCGCTCTTCCACGTCTGACTCGGGAATGCCCTGTATTTCCCCTTGTCAGCGTGTCAACTCATCTAAGAACATTCGCCGCTAGTGAGTTACCGTTGGAAGATGAAGAAAGAACTTTGTCGTCGCATCTTGAGGTCGAGCCTTGCGCTCCTCTTCGTCATTCACATAGATCCACCTCATGCGCCCTAAATCTTCTGTTACCACCAGGTGCCACCCCTCAGTGTCGGTCGTTTTCGCATAGGATGGGCGCGTCCCGTCGCTCTGGTCTCTGTCCACATGGTTCTTGATCTTCAAAGAGTATTTGCTTGACATTGCTCGATATTTTTATCATCATGGATATGGGCAAGAATCAACAGTGCCCTGAAGAATCGAGGAAACCAATTTCTTATAATGCCATAAACACACTCATATCGAATCATCATCGATTATATGCACTGGAGATTGAAATACATGGACTTGTCCGAGTGACATATCTGATGCCGGATGATCATGAGGAGTATCATATTTCGGAAGCAACCAGCAGGGTTCCTGCATTCGATCTGCATGCAATGCCAACACACCGCTCTTTACGGAATACAGATCCGTACTTACAGTATCATTCAGTAATGCATGCAATGCAGAAACAATCACTTTAACATGCAGATGCATCGCATCGCGTGAAGAGTCTGCTCTTGGTCTGTCTCCACATGACATCTCGGGCAAATTTGATATAAAGATATCAGCTGGCCTACTCTGAGAGACACCACTTTCTTCAGGGATGATGGCAGCCGTGTTCGACACGGTCCCTCAAGTCCTGACGCTGGGGCTCTATCTCCTCATCCTGGCATGTCTTGCTCGATTGTTAATGCTGCTGAGCAAGCGCTCCTTCCCCGCCAATGCCCCCAAATTTGTCCCAGGATACCCGGTCGTGGGAGCCCTCCGGTTTTTCTTCGATCGGGAGCGCTTCTGTCACGAGAGCATGACTGCCTCTCCCACCGGGAACTACAGCTACTATCTCGGCCAAAACCGCGTCGTGGGCCTATCGGGTCCGCAGGGCCGCAAGACCTTTTTCGAGAGCCGGGATCTCGATCTGGACCAAGGGTTCGGCCTATTGCCCTCTCTTCCCTTCTTCTGTTTCAGACACCACTGACTCTGGTGACCGAGTACAACAGGGTCAACCTGTTCGCCGCTTTCGGCACTGCAGTAGAGCGAGGCTCCGATCCATCCGATGAGACGCACGATTCGTACCTTCGGACATCCGGCGCACGGCGTTTCTGCGCACCGAGAACCTCGATGGCTCGAATACGCCAGGAAGTAGACCAAGTGGTAGCGAACTATCGAAAGGGAAAACAGTCCACGGAGCAAGTCCTGCAAACCCTGGATCTGCATGCCTGGGAGCAGGAGTTTCCGCTCATCGACGCCTGTCTTCTGGAGACCACCCGGATGCGCGGTGGGTCGTTTTTGTTTCGTAAAAACATCAGTCGCACAGACATGCCGATTGGGGATACAGGCGAGGTTATACAAGCGGGAGCCTATGTAGTAAGTCTCTTTTTTTTTCTTGTCTGCTCGGACAACGGGGACTCGGTTGACAATTTTTATCTTTCTTTGGCCAGACTTACCACTCTGATGAAACGCACATGGACCCGAGTATCTACCCTGATCCGCTACGCTGGGATCCGGGACGCTTCTTGTCAGATCGTGCGGAACATCGGAAAGAATTCATGGGATATGTTGGCTTTGGCCTGGGACGTCGGACATGTCGTTAGTCGATGCCCCCCTGAGAAGGATACGCAATCGCCTAGCTAACGCGACGATGCATCTGCAGACGAAGGGTAAGTTCCAAACCTATAGACTCGAAGTAGACGAATTCCTGAATGATCCGGATCGGAAGCTAACTATTGGCTAGCTGGGAAAAGTCCAAAGTATCATGGTCGTGGCCGAATAAGTGGTTAATGTGTGACATTTCATAGTTGCGTTCCTGTTAAGTCGATTCTGGAATATACGGATGTGGAGATGAAGTGTGTTGCGCTTTTGTGAGTGAATTTGTTCCATTGGGGGGATGGTACTGTCGGGGGCATTCATTGGGAGATATGGGGGTATATTCGCTTCGTAGGAGAGGGGATCTATGAAGATAGGTAGGTAGTCTAGACTAGGATATTATGGAAGTTCCGTATCAGGAATAGAATATTGAAGCTGGTGATATTGTACAAGAAGGCATCCCTTGTTCAGAAAGTCTACTCATCTAAGATAGGTACAGGGTATAAAGGTTTTCGAAAAGGTAGATATGCATACTTGGTAATTCGCTGTTCATTTCTATCCCAGTAGTTATTCATACATACATTCAACCATCATCATAAGTTATCATCACCAGATCATATCATAATCAATCAATCAATCCAAATCACCCCTCACAAGCATACTCTTCCCCACCGTCTGCCCCGTCCCCCTCGTCGACACGGGCAACAAACTCCCCCCGAACTGAGTATCCACGCTACGCCGCACACTAAAAATCTTCTCCATCTCCAACGCCGTTGGCGTCGCATAGAACTCTCCCCCATCCCCCCTCCCCCTCCCCCTCCCCCTTCCCTCCTGACTCGTCTTCCGCGTCGACATCCACCGCCTCGCGCGCCGAATCCCCTCCTGATATCCATCACCGATATCGTCGACCGCCAGGGCCAGCAAGATAAACGGGATGGAAATCGCGAAGCCGATCCCGAAGGTGTATTTGGCGACATAGTGCAACCGAAGCTGAGAGTCGCCGTTCGGGGCGTGCGGGAACTCTTCCATATTGATGGTGAAGAAGGAGGTGATGAACGACATCGGCAGAAAGATGATCGTCACGATCGTGAACACCATGATGATCTTGCCTTGGCGGGTCGTTCCGGCGGCTTGGTCGCGCGCGAACCGCGCCTCGAAGGCGTTGGCGTGTTTTTGCTTCAGATCTAGTAGGTCGGTGATGGAGGAGTAAATCCGCTCGGCTTGTTTGTCCATCCGTTCGATGTCTTTCATGTGCATGTCGATGGTGCGTTGTTGTTCTTTGAAGCGCTTGCGGGCTTCGTATTGGGAGCGTTGTTGGCCGTCGCAGATCACTTCTTGGAGGTCGGCCAGGACGTGCTGTTGTTGTTGCAGCACGGTGTGGATCATGTTGAGCTCGTCGCGGATGTCTTTGGTTTCGGAGAGGAGGTCGGTTTCTTGGCCGATATCGAGGAGGTTGTCGACGAAGAGGGGCTCTTCTTCTTCGTCGTCGTCGTCGTTGTCGAGGTGGTCGTGGCCGTGGGTTGAGGGCTCGAGGAGACGGTGGTCGTGACGGTCCGTCGCATCGGTTCCTTTGTTCTTGCGGGCTCGTGCGAAGCGGCTGAGCTTGCGGTGACTCTTGAGCCAGTCTGATGCCTGTGCCGAGGCGCGGTTGAACCGGCTGAAGAGCACTGTCTCGCGATCTGTCGCGATGCCGATCGAGGCCTCGAACATGTCCAGGAACTGATACTCGTCGTCGCCCATGCGATGGCGGTCAAAGACGCCGGAGCAGCGGTTGGTGATGACGATGGCCAGGCCGTAGAGTGATCGCACGGGCTCACGCGTCTTCGAGTTGATGTCCTCGATGATCCCGTCCAGCACGTTGAGCGGGTCGTTCTTCGGCTGATCCCAGCGCTGCGGAAAGCTGGTCACGATCAGATTCGTGCCGATGATCCACATCCACAGCTGGTCGACCATAAAGATCTTCGGTTCCGACCAGTATCGCTCGCGGCCCTGGCCCTTGGTCTGATACCGGTAGACCACCTGGTCCTGGTCGCGGATCTGCGTGTCGATGTTCGGGTAGAAGAACTGGTCGAGCGTGCGTCGCACATGCAGCGACGCTGACGAGGATGCCAGATGGGCTCGGATCAACATCTCGTCGCGCGTCGGGGACCGACTGACGCCCGGGGCTGGAAGATTCAGCGTCTCGGCCCTTTGGATCGCCTCCTGCATCTTCTGGCGCCGCTCCGCCGTCTCAAAATGCAAGTAGGGCATGAACATGCACACATTACACGTCACCGATTCCTTGCAGAAGGACAACGGCGAGCGATGCCGATCATGCCCATGGAATCTCGACTCCGACTTGAATCCAGACCCTCCTCCCCTCTTCCCTCGTTTGGCGTTCTTGTTGGCTTTCTTGCCATGAGGCCCATTGCTGTCGTCCTGCGAATCCTTGTCTACTCGGTCGGATTTGCCCCCTTGCGGTTTCTGTTTCTTGCCCTTTTGGCCCGGGGCCGGGATGTTGGGCGACGTTTCATGAGACGTTCCATTGATGACAATGTGCGGAGGAGCGTTGGTGTCTTTGTCTTCCACGGACTCCTCGGAGCTATCCTCTGAGCGGATCCGTGGCGCCCGAGGGGAGCTCTGACACAGAGGACGCATGAAGTGAGCATGCGTTCGCTGGCCACGATGCTGATAGCGAAACGACCGCTCGAGACCCTTGAAGCTATCCACGTCGTGCGCCCCTTCCTCGATAAACGCCTTGGTCAGCAACGCTTCCACCCAGGCCATGTTGTTGGCCGGTAGATGGATCCATCGGAAATCGGTGGCCTTGCTGTCCGCCGGAAGCGCATTGAAGGCCTGTTTGCGAGGATTCTCGGCATCGCGACCGAAGAGTAGGTTAAACACGCTCGTCTTCTTCACGCGGTTCTCGTTGTGGAAGTTCCCGAAATCAACTACCGTCGCCTCGAACCCTTCACACGCGCCCCTGGCATCAGCCGAGAGCCCATCGACGTTGTTAAACGGCGCCAGCAGCGACACAATATCCTTGCGCTTGAACTGCGCCGCGCGCAAGAACGGTGTACTCCCGAAGTTATCGCGGATCCGGCGCTTCAGGTCCTGTCGCTCCAGCAGGCACTTCACGATCTCGGTATGCCCCGCCTGCGCGGCCAGATGCAACGCCGTGACCCCATTCAGCAGCTGGCTGTTGATCTTCGCGCCGGCATGCAGCAGCATCCTCACTAGCTCCTCGAAGCCCTTGTCGCAGGCGTAATGCAGTGCCGTCCACCCGCCATCGCTCCGCGAGCCGATATCCGCTCGATGTCGCAGGAGCAGCTGCACGATATCCTCGCGGCCGTGCGCAACCGCCAGATGCAGCGCCGTCTTATTCCTCGACTCGATGGCGTTCACGTCCACGATGAGCCCGTTGGGCCTCGTCAGCAGCAGCTCCGCGAACCGCCGTTTCCCCGTCGCGCAGGCCCAGTGTAACGGCGTCCGGCCCAGCTCGTCCTGTCCCATCGCCCCGTCGACATGACATGTCGTTTTCAGTAGCAGGTTCACCACATCCTCGCCCCAATCGCACTGCTTATCCGCCGCCAGATTATGCAGCACATTGCGCCCGCGATGATCCTTCGCGTTGACGTCCGCGCCCCGCTGGATCAGCACCTGCAGGATATGCCAGTGGTTCCGCCAGGCGGCCGTCATCAGCGCCGTGCGGCCTTTCTTGTCACGGGTCTCGGCCGACGCGCCGTGTTCGAGCAGCAGCTGTACGATGCGCGGATGATTGCGCTCCACGGCGCGCAGCAGCGGCGAGGGCCGATTGTTGTTGTTGGCATTGGTGTTCGCACCGCCATCGGTCCTGGCGCCCAGTCCGAGCAGGTATTTCGTGGCGTCGGCCTTGTCGCGATCGCAGCTGCGCATGAGTCCCACGCGCAGGAACCCTTCGCTGAACTGTCCGTTGTCTCGCGCCTGGGCGATGACGTGCCGGAGAGCGTCGAGGTCGTCGTGTTCGACGGCTCGGAGGAGGCGCGGTTCCAAGCGATCATTGTTGTCGCTGGCGACGCTGGAGCGGGAGCGCGACATGGTCGATTCCGGAAGCTAGAATCTGGCCTTGAACGATATCAATCAATTGATCGAGCGAGCGATTGATCCCCGGCTGACTCGGTTCTCCTCGATCCTTATCCAAGGGTCGTCATTCTCCCCCTCAACTCGTACAAGTCCAGCTAGTCAGTAGTGCGGGAGACCAAAAATGACAAGAAAGGATAAGAATAAATTGAGTAATAACCTATCCTCAATAACTTGTACCTGCACATGCACAAACAAGCCCATTAGCGAGGTCAAAGAACACTTAAACCCCAAAAGAATCAATCACAAGAAAAGAAAGGAAAAGAAAAGAAGAAGGAAAAAATCCTTCAGCCCCAAGCCTCAGCACAAAAAAAAAAATACCCCAAAAGCCAAAACCCACAGGGACGGGAAAACAAGCAAGGCTGTCAAGCTAAGTCTAAGTCAAACTCCCCCCCCCCCCGGCGCGTCTAATACGAAGTCGATCAAATAAGAAATGGGCCGGGTCGGTTTAGCTGCATGAATGAAATGCCTGCGTTGCTGGGATCAGCGAGACTCCGCCGCGCTGGCGGTGGGAACCCGTCATGATCCAGCGTCGAGGGGTTAGCGGGGTAACTTTTGCAGGAGGTTTTCTTTTCGTGGAGATTTATTGTATTCTTTCTTTGGGAGTATACTTGGTTCCTCGCTCAATGTCTGTTGTTTCTGCACATTGGAGATGATGGAGATGGAGATGGAGACGGGGAGAAGAGGGTGAAGGAAGACTACTTGGGACTAGTCACTCAGTGGCTGCAGTCCAGCTGACGGGCTGGCCGAAACCCGCCAGAATCAGACAGAATCAGACAATCATAACATTACGGAGCAGTTATAAGTAACATGAGAAGGAAAATTCAGATCAGTCTTGCTCACTCTCCAAACAGGAGGTTCTGGATTATATTATCACCTCAACACCGAGGGCTTATTATCTCTATCCGTCACATGCTTTAAATAACATCAAATCAGTTTTTCACGAGTCTAGACAAGACACTCCCCGTATCAGACAGGGGCTGGGAGAGAATAAGAAAAAGGGTGAGGGAACGGGAGGGAGATAAAATGCAAGAGATGAAAAAAGAAAAAAAAAAAAAAAAAAAAAAAAAAGTGTGAAGAAAAGGAAAGAAAAAAGGAGACAGATATTCAATATAAAAAAATCATGGCCACGATGCCTCCGGATCAAACAGAATGCGCGCTTTGCAGACAGAATATTAAACATTCTTTTAGTTTATTTTCTTCGTCTTCTTCTTCCCCCGAAATTCCAAAAATTCTCGCGTTGACGCCGATTCAGCCTTTTGGTCCATGTAGATTGGAGTACGCCCAGGGATGATCAATAGGGGAACCCTGCGATTAAGAAAAATGAAAAGGAAACATGACAAAGTTTGAGACAGACAGAACCAACAGATGCAAGGACGACAAGACACAAAAGCTGAAAGGACATGGAATTATGAATGCAGCTATGCGGGAAGATATGTCGTAGGCCCGGCTGGGCTGAAGAAAAAAAAAGGAGAGAAAAGGAAAGGAAGTGGATGGCTGAAAACAAGTCTAGAAACCAAGACCTTCATGATCAAAAAAAGAAGGCGTTTATTTTCGGCCTTTTTGGTTGGGAACCTGCTTGAGAATGTCATCGAAACTCATTTGAGGGTTGAAGCGACTCATGGGCCTCGAAGGAGGATCGATCGGGGCAACGCCAGCGGGAAGTGGCAAAGCTTCCAGTCCCGGGGCGATGGACATTCGGTGATCGGCACGACGGCTGGCGGCCGGGGAATGCTGGCGAGGAATAGCTGGCGGTGGCGTGAGACCACCGCCGGGAGACAGGAGAGGCGTAGGGGGGCCGGGAAGTTGACCCGGTTGTTGCTGTTGCTGCTGTTGCTCGGAAGACGAGCCCGCCGATGAGTTCTGGCCCTGGTAGGGGGAGGACAAGGACGACTCGTTGTCGTACGGATCTTCAATGGTCGGCGGCGCCAAGATGGCGTCTTTCTCGGCCCACTGCTCGGCGAGCCGCCAACAGTGACTACGGCGGTAGATACCTTCGACACCGTTGATGACCACGTCGGAGGGAAGACTGACAACGCCAGCTCCACCGGCCACACCGAACCAGCTGCGGGCTGTCTTGCCGTCGTTGTGAGTCCAGGGGGCGCCGCCACGAGGAGCGATGCAGAGGAAGTATTCCACTCCCTCGTTGAACTTTACGTCTTGGACGTCCACGATGAGCAAGGGCAGAGCCTGGATGATGCAGTACAGCAGGATCCACTGGCCACATCGAAGGTCCTGGATGTCCATGATGTTCTTCCCATGCGCCTGTCGTCGCTCAAACTGCATGAAGGCCTCGATAAAGGGCGTAGGCCGCAAGCTCTCGCGAGTGTAGGAGCCCATCAGAACGGCGTTGATGTCGGCATCCTTGAGTTTCTTCGGCTTCAACTTGGCTTCCTTCTTGGCATCCAGCGGCTTTCGGTGGATGGTTTGGAGTTCGGGCATCTGGGGGATATCGAATGGAATTGGGGGCTGAACGGGAGGCGTGCTGCGATCATACTCGCTCAGGATGTGACGGAGCGAACGGTGCGTCACGTCCCCGTTGGGGTTGCTCTCCTCGTCTTCGGTCGCAGCCATATCAAGGGTTCGGGTGGTCAGCGCGGTGCGATCGACGAGCATATCGTAGAGATTGGCGAAGTCATTGTACAGCTCCAGCAGAACTTGACGGTTAAGACCGGTTTCCTCGAACTGGTTCTTCTTGGATCGCGCCTTGGGCGGCCACGAGCCGAACCTCTGGCGGTAGTACTGCATTACAAAGCGACGGAATTCCATGAATGCATTCTTCCATCCCTTGAAGCGGATGACCTTGCTCTCTTCCGAGGTGGCCGAGTTGGCAAAACCGGAGAAGACCGAGGGGAAATCGAAATCTTCGAGCTTGCTGTACAGGACCCGGAGACGCGTGTCGAGGTCGATGAAGCCTCGCTCCATCCGCTTTTGACTGACGGGGCTGATCAGGCCATACTTGGGGCTTCGCAGCTGCTTCAGATCGTCCAGTTTGCCCACACCATGTACGAAGCCTTCCAGGTAGAGCGGGAAGAACCGCAGGCGTTCTCCCAGAACGATGGCTTCCAGGGTTTTCTCACGGCTTTTACGCACATCAGCGAGGTGCAATTCGTCGCAGTAGTTACCAAAGCTAGTGGTGACCGTCTCGCCAAAGTTGGACCCGTCGAAGTTCGAGAACTCGAAGCGAGATAGCAGGTTGGCGACGTCCATGAAAATGGAGAAGAGCGACGGCGACTTCGGCGTGGCGATGAGGGACTGTCCTAACAGGAAGGCGAACAGGTTGCGGAATAGGAGAAGGGTTTCCGTGTCCTCTGGCGAAAGGCGCGTAATGGGGTTGGACATGTCACAGTTCAGGGGGACTGGCAGGTACAAATGAAGCTCCTGCACTTCCTCCTGTCCTTCATCATCGAAGGCCATTCTTCTACTACCAGTGCTGTCATTATCATCTTCTAGCGTCTGATCTTGAGGGGACAGCGGCGGCGATGCAGAACCAACGACGGGGCTTCCGAGCGTCAGGGACTGGGCCTGTTCCTCCAGGGTTTTGGGGGCACGGGGATCCGATCCACGGGCCAGGAAGTTGAGCGACGGCGATTCGGCAAAGACATTGGAATGTAATTTGAAGGAAGCGGATCGGCCGGTATTTTGAGGGAAAAGGTAAACGTAGGTGTCACCATTCTCATTCCACAATTCCGGAATCTGTCGTTACGGTAGAATTTAGTCACCTAGGCCTGGTATATTCCAACCCATGCATCGGGACTAGAGGAGAGGGGCAGGGGTTATTGCCCCAAACAAGGCTACTACATACCTGTTCTCCTTTTGACAGAGGTTCAAGGTCGTATAGAATTTTCTGATCCAATCCAGCGATCCAAGCACTCGGCATGCTAGTGCTCGCCTGTCTGGTATCTACCGAACTGGCTCGCTGGCGTCCTGGGAGCCAGCTGCGCCTTTTGGATGAGGGGGTTCCGGGTCGTGAGTCTGGTCCCGACCCGGGAACAAACAACCCCGCGGAACTGTTGGGTCGGCTTGAGCTCCTGAGGCGGCCACGGCTTTGGGGCCGTCCACTTTCGGGGGAGCTAGGGGCGCTGTTGGCGAGGTCCTGGTTTACAGCCAGGAGGGAGGGCGGAGGCTGCAGGGGAGTGTCGAGGTCATAGTTCTCGTTGGGGTTCGGGGACAGAGCAGGGATTGGTTCCGAGGGGTCAACGTAGGGAGCCGATGACAGACGAGTCGGTCGGGAACTGCTGCGTCGTCTATCCTGAGGTTGCTGATCGGGGGAGGATCGCGAAAAATTGTTGGGATTAGGAGAACTGGGCGAAGACGGGATGGAATTATCTTTATTCGACCCCAATGAAAAGAGCGAGGATATCCGCTTGGCCGATCTTGCAGGAGCAGACAACATCTTCTAGGGTCACTGTATACTAGAGAATGATAAAAGCAAGAAGTGAGGGAAGATGTTAGTTCAGCGAAACAACCATGGAGAGAGAAAAGTGTGGCCCCAAGAACGGAAGGGGAGCAAGCCAGAGAAGCGCGAAGTCAGAACAGGGAAACGAAAGGGAAGTCACGAACAAGTGAGGTAAGAAAGAATGCCGGACGACAACCAACCATGCGAAAATCGTCTAGGCAGTGGTGGACGAGGAATTCCCCGTCGCTGGACGTAGGTTCCGGCGTGAATGTGTCGCCGACACTGGTTGGTTGGCGGGTTGGAATTTGGGGAATGGATCGGCAGGATGGATCCTAAGAATGATGGAATCAAATAACTAAATGATGGCAGCAGATGGCAGGGAGAAGGAAAGTTGGAGTGGAAGGGAGAGGGGGGAACAGAAAAAAGAAAAAGAGAGGGACAAGAAAAGAGCGAGCGAAACAGCAAAGAGAGAGGGAGAGGGAGGGAGAGAGGGAGGAGAGAGAGGGAAAGAGAGAAAGAGAGAGAAAATGTGGTTGGTCCGGGGGGGCAGTGAAAGTGGGTTGTTGGATGGATTGACGGATGGAACTGTTCAGAGACTGAGGAGCACTCTAAGAAGAGTGAGAGACAAGATCCTGGATGACCCAAAGAGGAAGAGACGGAGGGCGAGAGAGCGGAAGAGAGGTTTTTTTCTTTCAATAAGATTTCATAATATTAATATGGAGGTGAGATGGATCTTGGGTTCTGGCGGCCTTCTGGTGCTGCTTAGACCTGCGACCTGCGTGACTTTCAGGATTATTTTTAAACTGGGTGGGACCGGGCAAAATTCATTCAATATTCATGCGACCTGGCCGATTGGGACTGAATAAGAATTATTATCTGATTCAATAGTTTGGCTCTCTTGAGAGAGACGTGGTGAGTTATAAGTTAACTTCTTAGATTTGAACAATAACCGTGGGATTCCCTGGCATAAGATTCCTCTTTATTCTTTTTTTCTGTTGGCTTTTTGCCTGCCTGTTCGTTGCTTTTTCTAATTATAAGACGCCTGCTAAATCGTCCCCCCATTCTTTCTTTTTTTTTTTTCTATATTCCAATCAGATCCTCCGATCTCATCCCATTCAGAGTTCCACAATCCTATTCGCCCTTTTCTCTTCTTCATTTCCTCTCCCCTTTAAGAATCCATGGATGCTCCTGCATTGTCAACACACCACAACCCCATGACACCTACAGAATACTCTAGAAAACAAAATCACTGCCCTCTGTAGCTCAGACAATACTGTACAAGAGAAAGAAGAGAGAGAGAAAAAAATTAAAATAGTGGGGTGACCTACACGATTTTTTTTTCTATTGTTTTGCCTTCCATCGGAGCACACCAACCCCATTAGAGAAAGTGGGCTGGGGAGCAGTGAACAAAAGAGGCTGTGTGGGTTTTTTTTTCCCAGGACTGCTCCGGAGAGGCTGATGGATTCATAACTCATAATTCTGAAGTCATAACTGCATGGCAATAGCCTCATTTGCTGACCCTCGGGAGAGTCAGAATAGGCTGTGAAGCCCAAATGTTTAACTAAGTGCGGTCGGTGTGCGGAGACTCCTGGGGTTTTTTTTCTGTTGGGTTTCTGTTCGTGTTGTTTTTCTTGTCGTTTGTTTTAGCCTGTCACTCCTCAAGGCAGAATCGAATTCGAATCCCTCGGGCGGGCCCTTTTCTTTTTTCTTTTTTCTTTTTTTTTTTCCTTCGAGCGTTTTCTTGATGTCAACATCCTGCGCTTCGTCCTCCTCATATCTCGTCATAGCCGATGGGGGCCAGGCAGCCAAGGCATCCAAGGGTACACTCAGTAGGTAGACTCCAACTAAGACGTCATTATTTGGTGGCAGGTATTAGTAACAGTTACACTCGGGACCTGTTGCTACCTAGGTACGTTCCATATATCCGGATCGATGGTGCAGACTACGGAGTACACTATGATATTTAGTCGAGATCTGTACCGGACATGCAACGGAGGAGATGGGGTTTTCGGCTGAATCGTGAATCTCTCTCTACCTAGCCTCGCTGTCTGGGCTGAGCTCGGCGGCTTGCCTGGCTGCCGAGACTCGGGGGTTTGTGCGAGGTGAATCAACTGTAGGGACTCCGTATGTATGTATGTAGGAACAGAGATGCAGGCAGGTCGGCAGGCATACTACATAGACGGAGACCTCCGGAACTAAACTTTGATGTGCAGATATGTTGCATTCATACCGTCTGCTGCATGAAAATAAGGAGGACATATGTATCTTTGATACCGGACTATAGGATCCGTACATAGAGAACTCCATCAAGTGTGCCCATCCGTAGATGTGCATCTCATATGTACATTTATCCATAGTTTCTAGAAACTACTCCGTACTTACTCGGTGTACACGATTCAGAAAGTCGACCTCCGTTCCGAACACTCCGGTAGCGACTCCCCCTAGTCTCCTTCTCGAACGCAAAACAAATATATATCTGACAGGTGGGCGGTCCGCCCAAAGGTACTTACACTCTACGGAGAGTTACGGCGACACTGGAAGTTCCAGGGGTAAACCAAAGTCAAAGTTAAACCACCCCCCCTAAAGGCCAAGCCCAAGGGAAACAAAATTTTTATTTTATCCTTTGATTTTTACTTTCGGAGCGTTAGGCTGTTAGTACAGTCCACCGGAACCAATAACCAATAAGTTGAATCAACCACACTAAATCGCCTTGCCCCTCAGACTACTCCGTACTGTGTTATTCTCTCACCCCTGCCCCCTTCTCGAAACCGGTTTGGATTTCATCGCTGGTCATGATCATATACCTCTACGGGTGTAGTCCCTGAGTAATGAGTATATCTCTTGAGTGGCTACTGGCTCGTTAGTCACTTAGTGGCAGAGACCGTGAACCAAACCACCCCATCTACTCATCTTACCCTAGGGTTACATGGCTCCGTAGTTAATCAATCCAAGATACTCTAGCTTGGCATCGTCGCGAAGCTCCTGTTTCTGTTTAAGACCTTCCGGGTTGAAAGAGGGGGCGACTTCGGCGGCGGCGGCGGAAAGCGATCGAAAGAGAAACGAGAAAGGGGGGGCAAAGGGAGTGAGTTGAGCTTAACCAACCCAGACAAACCAGACAAACTCCAGCCAAGCCAAGCCAAGCCAACCCGATCCGATCCGTCCAGCCCGGGCAGTTGTCCTGAGTCCCTGACTCCCGTGGCAGAGCAAATCTCGAGGTCCGGTCGTACGGAGGGCAGAGGGGGGCAAAATAAGCGTTGTCATCGTCGCCGTTGTTCTTGTTGTCACTACTGTCGCCATCGGCAAGGAACAGGAAAGAAGATAGAAGCAGAGAACAGGGAGGCGTATATTCTAAGAATAGTAACCATTCACCAACAGCTTTACTGAGAATATATTCACTGGTGCGTGCGCAATGCAAATCTCACTGGCCACTCTGTAGGAAATCTCCTGGTTCCTTACTGGGTACATCCGGAACCAAGGAGACTAAGGAGGTAGGTACAGTGCAAATATGGCTACCTAGCAGGTAGTCGTAACCCTACACCGTACGTAGGTGCATGATGTTTGGGGTTTGACGTGTCAATTTGGTTTCCGGTGCTGCGCGGATGGGGATTCTGCGATGATTCCGGTTAGGTATGATGGGGTTCCGAGTTCCGGACTACACCGTAATGGGCCATATGTGACGAGTCCTTTTGGTTTTCTTAATGAGTTTTGTTTCGTTGCCTGCGTCGGCTACTTTTACGGAGTCTGTTGCCTCTTCTCCTGATCCCCCCTTGATTCGACGCTGCCGGTTTGCTGAAGTAATCTCTGACTAAGCTGCAATGATGTCGGAAGCGGATTTATAGCTCTTCCGGGACGCATGGGGCTTGGCGGGGTGTGCCAATCATGGCCGATCGTCGTCAACTCGCATGCAGCAGACACTCGATTATCGTACAGACACGGCACATTCTCACCTCCATCGGCAAACCTTGGATGCAGCGGTGACGGTGCAGGCGATTCGTCATGATAGAGTAAAGTGGCGGTCTAGATATCACAAGCATATAAAATCATTCCGCCAGATTCACGCCCAGCTGAACGGCTCTGAACTCTGTCCTTCGGCTTTCCCGTCGCTACCTTACCATCTAGTTAGAAGATAAGCAAATCCGATAGAATATCCTGGTCCCCAAGACCGGCTGTCCCTGCCCACATATCTACCTACCAGGGCTCCAACCGAGTGACCGACTCCCCTCTTTCAGCCGCAAACCAGCCCAACAGACAAGCAAGCCAGCCATGGGCTCCCAAGGAAATGATGTGATTGATCTCTTTCGAGGCCACCCAGACCCGAGCTTACTGCCGATGAGCGCGATAGCTAAGGCCTCCGCGACGGTCATGGCGACGCCCGACGTCCGCGCGCAAGCCATGCTGTACGGGCCCGATGAAGGCTATGGGCCGTTGCGACAGCACATTGCTCGGTGGCTGACGGATTTCTACCACCCCCGCGACCCTATTCCTGCCGACCGCATCTGTATCACGGGTGGTGCGAGCTCGAACCTGGCGTGCATCTTGCAGGTCTTCACCGATCCCATCTATACGCGCAATGTCTGGATGGTGGCGCCCACGTACTTCCTGGCCTGTCGCATGATGGATGACGCTGGATTCACAGGTCGGATGCGAGGCGTCCCCGAAGACGAGTCGGGCGTGGATCTAGCTTACCTCCGGCGGGAACTGGAGGCGGCTGAGGAGAAAGCGGAGGCCGAGGGGAATACTGAGCCGGTATGATCGATCCCTGTCGGAGACCTCTTTTGCTCGTTGGTAGCCACGAAAAAACAAACGGACTGATTATCAAAGACTCACAAACCGCCCCGACCATGGGGAAAGATCTACAAACACATCATCTATGCCGTACCCACCTTCTCCAACCCGTCAACCCTGACCATGTCGCTTTCGGATCGCGAGAGTCTGGTCCGGCTCGCACGGGAGTTTGACGCTTTGATCATCACGGACGACGTTTATGATTTCCTGCA